GTGTATATTCCTCAAACATTTGCCTTTCATTAGGACATAACGTTATTCGCATCACTAACTCTGTTGTCATTAATCCTAAATGAAAGGAATGGTATATTCTCGTTGTCCTAGCAATTCACTTCATATTTGTATGAGAATGATGTCCATTTGACAGGATAGCGTCTCTGAGGTATATTTACATTCTTTACATAATAAAGTGTGGGACTATATATATCAGTAGTTTAGTCAGTATTGTAACTCAGAGTATTCTCGGGATACATGTTACGTAGCCCCTTGTCTTCTTAACCCGGAGAGAACTAGTTAGCTTTCCTGTTTTGAGCAGAATTTGATATAAATCATACCGAAAACCGGAGATAATGAAATCAGATTCTCTCAACTTTAAAAAAAACCATTGAATTATTCCTCTCATTCCCTTGGAAACCAAATCATTAATATCTGTTACCTACATGTTCGGCTTCAGTTAAAACATTTCAGGTGATAAGTTCCATTAGTGAAATCTGAAAAGAAAAAAAGAAGGTGCAGTTTGTCTAAAGCGAGACATGTTGAACGCTCTGAAAATACACAATTTTCACACATATGCAAACATACTACAAGAAATTAAAAATTAAATTAATTAGAGAATGCGAAACTGTTTGATTAAATAAAAGAGAAAGCTATGTAAGCACAGATGCAAAAATACTGTAGAACACAGAAAACATGAAGGAACAATGTAAGTAAGCTTGTGCTCTTCAATCCGAGATAAATTAAAAATGCTAAGACCCACCTAGCGCTTCCGGTTTTTTCATATCTGACCTCCACACAGGTATAGTAGGATTGTTAATTGTGTTATATTGCGCACTGTAATATTCATTCAGTTTCCAGAATAAATATTATCAGGAAGAGGTGCATGCGTATAGCATGAAGCCTTCTCCAAGACTTGCACACACAACCAATAAGTCGCTTATCATCCTATCGCCCTTGGCAGATATATGCCAACAAAATTCACGAGAACATGTAACAGACCAGGTATCCTCTCGCCCCCCCTCAACAACAAAAAAATAATTATGCTAATTAAATGAGGATTTTTTCCTCTTTCTTGAAGATTGCACTTGCTCGAAACCAGTCAGCTAGGTCATGTTTGACTTCTAGATTTCCACTTCATTTGATAAGCACACCTTTCCCATTGATTATAAATATTGACATCCTCCCACTATTTGGATTTCAAAAGTAGTAGTAACAAATTTTTGAGGTCACATCTTGACATCTCATTTCTGCAATTTTTGAAAGACAAAGTTTCGTCTGGAAGTGCTCCCAAAAATATTGTGTTTAAAATTGTAGAGAAGATTTGTGGTTCAAGTAATTCTTTTTCTACATTACTTTCATTTAGTTGGATGGTTTAAAAGTCAATTGTTTACAGTTTCATTTCTATTAGTGTATATAATTCCTTTACTGGAATCAGAGACTGTCAGAAAGCGAATTTGTACATATATTTGTTTCATTTTATAACTGCTCCCTGAAGACTGATAGGTACATATAGCCATTTTGTTGCCTACTTGAAATGGATATAGGCTCCACCATAATAATATTATTGGGAATAATGGCATTGTGTTTCGCTGAATCCTGAGTATCTTCACTTAGAATGCAAACTGTCTATAATCATCAGCGAGCCTAATTCAAGAATGTCTTCTATTTGTTTTCATTTTTTATTCACTGAGGAATAGACAAACGTTAATGAGAACCAGTGAGTAAGCAAGTATTCGAGAAAGTGACCACGTTACACCACACTTACATTAACGCTGCCGATAGTCTTATCTACGTCTGTTAACTTTATCTATTTACCCTCTCCTTAGCTATTCAGAGTCAGCAAATATTTCGCTCTTTGTTGTGGGCTACGTATTATTAAGTAGTACTCATTCTTTACATCTTCCATTGTACCGTCATCAGTTCCATGGCCAAACGGTTAAAAATATATTGGTCAGGATTAATGTTTTTCTTTATTTTACAAACTAGTAATCTAAACCAGCATTCAACCATACATTTTCCCTTTTGCAACAGAAATCAATTCGTTCCTAAAGCGACAATGTCAGAAGAAATATCTGAAAGCTGTGAGTATGAAACGTGCAATCTTGTCACTATGGTCACAGGAAGTAATGTCACCTACCACACTTCAATTATATGTACTATATATGTGTCTCATGACGTATAAGTTCTGTATAGTGGTGACTGCCATTATAGTTCACCTTGATTACAAGCTATAATAACTTTATTATATAGTTTGAAGCTCGGATTCTGGGAAGCAGATATGCTCATTTCAAAATTTAAACCTCTGTTGAAAACCACACAGAAGAAATTCTAATTGTGTCACATTCTTTCAGCAGATAAAATTGAAACAAATTTGAATATTTGCAGTTAAGTTAGTTAACAGTCAGATGAGATATATGTGTGTGCGTGATTCTTAAATACCATGTTGATCATCACATCAATAAAAGGAAGATGATGACAACACTGTGCCACATAGCTTCTTTTCCACTGAAAGAGTTCAGACAGCACTTGAAGCTTTCAGATATTTTTATTGTAATTCAGAGAACAGTTGTCATAACTTATGTAATTATAAATTATATCAGAAACATCACCTTCCATTCAGTCATTCAATCCAGAAACTGCTAGATTCAGATAAAAATTATATGCTTAATGTTGTTTGAATACTCCCCATTTAAAATATTTTTTGATTTTTCCCACAGACTAAAAACTCGGTTGTGACATAAATTTTATAACACATGAATGATCGGTTAAAATGATTTCTCTGTTCAAAACGTTTGGAATTCTGATTTTATATTGGTAATTCGTTCGAATTCATAAGACACCAGTCACTGAAACGCTTGCATACACACAGTGCCAATTACTAGCAAAGAGATAATTGGAAAACATTTTATCATTGAGTATGCTTTATTATATGGACTGTTGCAAATAAATACCTTATTTTTTTAAATTTCATCATTCCTATCTTTGACTGATGAAAGTTCTAAGATTCTGTGACATATGTGATTTCCTAAGGTCACTAGTTTGTCTAAGTTCATCACATAAGAAGAAAACAAATACAAATAGCGTTTAACGTATACAAGTACTGTCCTTTTGACTGTTAGTTTCATAAAAAGAAGCTAAAATGGCTAACTCAACAAAAGCCCTGTACGTAGGAGAAGATTTAAAGTATATTACTTGGTGGGTATGAAGGGTAACCTTTATCTACTTCGATGCACATGCAAGATGATGAATGAAAAATGGCTGAAGCCAAGACCACCAGAAAGAATTCATCATGGGTAGAATTTATTTTGACGAATTATCACAGTGTTATACAGTAATATTTACTGATGACGAGGTCAACTAAATAGATCAAATTAGTAGATTGGGGATAGTCAGATTGTCGGAACATAAGAATTCAGCTAAGGTAAGAATGGTTGACCCCGCGAAGATAAGTAATCTGGAATCAAGCTCAGCAATAGCACTGCATGCGTTGACACACAACCACACAATAGGGTGGGAGAGGATTAAAATTCTAAGAAGTAATATAGGTAGGTGAAGACAGAGGTTGATTACTGAATCCTTGTTCATCGAGTCTACACCCAACACATGCTATAGGAATGACTCATCACTCATATCGGAAATATGGAAAATACTACTACCAATCAAATCAAGTGATGGAAAATAATGGAATTATATAAACGAAGCTGGAAAGTCGTGTGATTACGTTGATGTGATTATGAGCAATAAATTGTGCTCGAATTGTCATCAGTAAATATTACTGTATATTACTGTGAGAATTTATCGAAACAAATTTTACCTACAACGGAATTATACTTTACTACAATGCACAAGTTCTATTTTTATATCAAGGAAGAATTCACTTGTGCACTTAGTTTCTTTGTCACGTCAGCAACTTTCATTAATAATTAACAACGATGAATTCTAAACTCAAAAACTCGCCTGAGACACTGTGGTTGTTACAGTTATCATGGTTGCCATAGTAATTTTTTTCCGAAAATTTATCCCTGAATGGAGCTGTCATATTCTTGCCTATATGCTTTTAAAATGGTAACCTTAGACACCCAGTTATCAAAACCTTGACTGGTTTTAATGATATCCACTAGTACGTTTGACTGTATGGGAATCTATTCACCATTATTTTTGAACAATGTATATTACTGGTAGTATTTTAACTCAGAGATTATGTTCATATTCATTTATTCAGTTTATTTAAGGTCGCTAATGCATCCACATTTTTCACATATGTTTTGAGTCCACTGCACATATTGACCACATAAATAAGTCTCAAAATTACATGGGATTAACAAACGTGGTGTGAAGAAGTTCAGGGTGAAATAGCCTCAAAATGCAGCATCACTGGTAGATATGAAAGAATATGCATAGGTGAACACTAAAGACATCTTCAAATGTTCAGAAATGTTCCAAATTAACTCAAGGATATTTTCCATCCATACTTATTGAAGATTTCGATAGAGTTGTTAAAAGGATTCTTTCATGTTTATGTTTCATATACTTTTTATCAATAATTTTTACTCCACATCAGGGTTTCTTACCAATGTATGTTCAAAAAAGGGTTAATTACTAGTGTAAAGAGATAGGCATTTATAAAACACGAGTAAACAAAGACATTTATTCATATCACATGGAAATGCGAACTTTTATTTAGGTGAATTCTTTTGTTTATTTTTTTAATTCACCAATGTCTATTGAATAACAAACAAAACAGCAGTTACAAGTGACGATTTTTGTGCTCATAATAAAATGTTACTAATGGATACATTGAAAATGGCAAATAATAAACCAGTCTTATTTATAAGTAATAAAATAGTCGTTGATGGAAAAATGATAAAAACAAGTAACCACTATGATGAAAATAATAATCATAATGATGATGATAATAATAATAGTTGCAATAATGATCAGAACAATGATTACTCAGTTGACAGACTACATTATTTTGTTTATATCCTTTTGTTAAGATCTCAAATGCCTTTGAAAGAATATCTGAACGATTACCCAAAGCTTTGTTGGAACCAGTGCGCAAAATGATCAGTCAGGATGTTCGCGAAAGACCAACATCACAGCTATTTGCCTTGGTGAGTTAACAGTTTCACTGTCTCCTGTTCAATAAGGTCAGTCTATGGTAACGTTACAGTCTTGTAACTAAAAGTTTTCACTGTGACAAGAAATTCAATAATAAAGTTTTTAGAAGTTTCTGTGACACATTGCTACAATAACAAGTCTGCATGATTAATGGTTATATAGGTCATTCCAATTGTTATAAAATTTCCTATCGCTATTCATACTGATAGTATATTTTTATTCTGTTTACGATCCAGTCACAACAACAAATGGTGAGTTTATGATGTATGCCTGGTGTGGTTGTCAGTATGCGCTTAACGACCACACGTCTATTGTTTCCATGGAACAGTGAATGAAATTACTGGTGCAAGGAAAGGAAAGTATTCAGAGGCACTGGCAACAATAAGTTTTTCGGCTTTAGCAACTGACCGCCTGATGAGACTGCAGTGCATAGACACATTTTATCAAATAATTTTGTAATGCATCTGCAATCTAGTCACTGCTAAATCTGTTAAAGGTTACGTTTTGTTCGGAAAGCATACCCATTAATTAAATATTTTAATGAGACAATACTTTGCCAAATTGTTTCATGCTAATGTGAGGCAACACAAAAAGTCGACCAACCTATTGAACAAGTCAAATTTGGATGAAACGCACCATTTCAATGCGACATTATACTTGTTTCTTCACATTTAGTGAGCAAGATTCATAATAAAGTAAATTTGTTTAATGCAGTTTAAGTGGTTTATGTCGTTTTAGTTAGACAGTCATACCTTAGTAAAAGAAAGCAACTAACCAAAGTTTATAACTATACTTTTGGGATCATTTCGCTAAATAGTCCTCCCATTAGTTCGCTCAAAGACTTAATCCATAAGAGCGGGGTCACAGATAATCATCGTGCAGGGAAATCGTAAAGAAGCCAAACTTTTCCAGTATACACTACACAGAAAACATTTATCATTATGTAATTAGCACGATATTTTCTACTTCATTTACGAAGACGGGTGTTTATTATTAAACTGGTAGAGTCATCTGAACTACGATGATTTTCCTGACAACATAAGATTTCTGTAAAATTCAAGCATTAATGCTGTGAGAAGCAAACATATTATGAATCTTCCCACATCATTGGTTATTTACATGTTTTAGAATTCATTTCATGATAAAAATGAATGCATATACATTATTCTATTTATTAGAATGATTTGTTTATGATGGAGCAAGTATCGAAATAACAAAATGTTTAACGGAAACCAGATGTCACTGCTGTTAGTATTGATGGTTAGTAATCTAAAACACAGATTTCCGAAAATTCGATGTTGATTTTATCCTGACTTTCATCAATGTTACGGATGACTAATTGCATAAATAACTCAATAATAAACATAGAAATAAGTTTAATAACATCTGCCAGTGAAATGATTATATTAAGACTGTTATCTATACTTTTGACTAACTGAGTAATGATTGTTTTCTTAAAATGATATACCGTTCTCAGTATGTAGCGGTCTGTAAAAATTTTATGTCAAGAAAAATCTGAAATCACTCATGAATGGATGCAGTAAACTCCTTCTTATAATACTATGCTATCAGTTAGATTAAGTGAATGAGTGAATTCGATGCATTCAGCCGATGGCTGATCAAAATTTAATCCAAACAGTCTTAGTGGCACTGTGTGAATAGCTTTTATCCAGTACTCTTAAGCTTCCACTCAATCATAATCACTAAGACATACCTAGGTCGTGGAACATGAGGGGTATCTCAAAATTATAAAACAACTATGTTATCTAGTTCTCTCTTGGCTCAAGATGATATTTCTCACAAAAAGCATACTAACAGAAGTAGATTAACAGTTATACTTAATTAGACATCGACAAACTCTTTAAGCTTCTTACATATCTTGAATCAAATTCTTGACTTACAAACTCACTTGGGGTTCGCAATTTGAATAGTTCGAAGTAAAATTTTACCACGAATTCCTCTGGCGAAATGAATAATGAGAGCAGTTGGATCCCACTGACATCAACCAGCAGCGCACTGAGTTACCTGTTCTCATAAGTATCTAGCCGGAATTCGGGTGGCTAGAAGTGATACGACTCTTGGAGCTCAGTAAAACTAGATACATGCTTGGTTAGTTTGGCCTCAAACAACCAGCATGACCGCCTGGTGTTTAGACCACCTGGATTCGTCTAACAAGCACTACTGGTTGATGTGAGTGGTATGCAACTACTCGCACCAATTAGTCAGTAGCATACAGTATCATAACTTATCTATTTGAATAAAAAATATCACAACTAATCATCTACAAACTGTACAAAAAGTAAACTTTGAAATCATCATATCATTCAGAGATCCAATAATTAGTATAGCATTTTGGAACGTTTTTTTTCCTAATCTTTTCCCTTAGAAATATATAATTTTTGCTGAAGATAAATACTTTTAACAAGAATGTTTACTTATATCAATTCATGATTGGATAAATTTACTTACTCACGATATTTCTGATATTTGTTTTAGTTGAAAGTATTTAATGAGCCTACAGTTCTCTCCTATGAAGGTCTTCTTACTTTAGGAGATAAATCGGTCAATCAAAAAAAAGAATTCTTCGGACGACTTCCGAAAGTTATACCGTTATTTGAACCAGTAAGTTGGTGGGATTAATCACTGTTTTAAGCTGAAATGCATAATTCTTTACTACAAATTTGCTGTCATTCCATCGTATTACAATTATACTAATCATAATTATATCATTTATAAACTTGTCATTCAGTATTACACTTGCAATCTAAGTTCACTACATTTTCAAGGATGCACAGATGTCTTGCTGACAGATGCCAATAAGCACGAGACCTAGGTTCAGGGCCTCAATATTGGCTGCCTAGTGCAGTGTTATGTCCAAATTATTGTGTGTGGTTGTCAGTGGGTAATTTAGCTACAAATTTTGACGTTTATGCAACTCTGAATACAATTTCAGCCAGATAACTATTTAAACAAATCTTGGCGAAAAATGGGTATTATTAGTTTCTAATTTATTTGTTCATTAGCTACATAATTATTAATAGTCACGAAGTAATGAATATTTATTAGGCTACAGGTGATGAAGTCTACATTGCCGAAGGCAGCATAAGGAACCACTTCGGCGGCTAATACTAACCAAATGTTTCAAGTGAATTTCTACAATGATCAATTGTTTTCATGAAAAAAGCATACCTAGCTAGATTGGCTTAAAGTCAGGACACAAGGTTATACAAAATAAAACTTGAAAGCAATACCCCTGTTTTTGGAATATAAGCAGATATCACACAATGTGAGACGTTAATGAGAAGTGATTCAGATGAATATCTATACAAGAATAAATTTTGAGCAGTGTGGTAGAGTATAATCATACGGGGCTAGAGTGTAATTCCATCAAATAATAATTGATAATTTATTAGAAAAGGCAGTTCCACAGTACTATCTACTTATTAAGTTCCCTGTTAATATCTCACTCATAATCATATCAAACGAAAAACTGTATTAGAAACGTCATCGGTAAATAATACTTTATTATTTTGATTTTATCAAATGAAATCATTCTATCATGGAATCCATACCAACAATTTATACCCTTCATTTTAATTTTGAGATGAACTGTTAGCACTGATAACTGTGGTTATCTTGTTGCTAGGTTAATGAGTTTAAACAACCAAGCTTCAAGTACCACACCTTTAGGTTAAACAGTAAGTATTCTGAGTTGCTACATTCTAATTAGTTTGACACTGTTGTTTTCTTTTCGAGAAGAATTTTTCATAATCTTTTTTTCACTGGAAAATACAGACAAAAACAATTCTACTGAAAATTACCCCTTCAAAATTTTGCGTAATATCTCAATGACTGTGCTTGTATTAAATTACGTTTATTTCACATTTTGGCCGAATCTGTCTGATTTTTATTAAAAAAGTGGAATCTTTCTGAAAGTAATTACACTGCAAAGATTAAGATTTCAGATCTTCATTAGGTTTTGAACAATTTTATCTAAATATATATATATATATATATATATATATGTAATTATATCACCAGGCCAAGCGTGGTTGTTTATCCACCTGCGGCGTAACAAATCTGAGTAAAAAAATAACGTGGAAGCTGCAAAATATTAGACAAAAACACCATATAACCAATAAATAACAATCAAATATATATATATGTACATGTATGTTAACAGCGGACTTGATGACGCATTGCTGGAGAAGGTATGGAAAAAGGGCAAAGTACCCAAGGATTGGATAAAGGATACTCATTCAAACTACAAAAGAAAGGAGATTTAAGTCAATGCCAAAACCGGTGCTGAATTATGCTCCTGTCCATCCCAAGCAAAATACTAAGCCACATCATCCTGGAGAGAATCAAACAAGCCCTAGATGCAAAATTTCGACCGGAACGGGCTGGATTCAAGAGAAACAAGTCATGTATTGATCAAATCGTCACACTACGGATCATCATTGAACAAAGCTTGGGATAGCAGTCACCTCTCTACCTCGACTTCATCGACTTTGAAAAGGTCTTCGACAGCGTCGGTCGAGAGGTGATTTGGGAACTACTTCGCTACTACGGGGTCCCATCGACAAATATACATCATATCCAACAGTTATACGACAATGCTGCATGCCAAGTGATCCACAACGGGAAACTTACAGAAGCCTTCGAAGTGAGGACAGGAAAGAGGCAAGGCTGTCTACTATCGCCAATGATCTTCCTGATTGCAGTAGATTGAACAATGCGACAGACAACGGCGAGCAGTGAAGAAACAGGGATAAAATGGAGCCATACAAGAAACTCAGAGGATCTGGATTTCGCCGATGATATATGTCTGATTTCCCACAAACTGGAAGATATGCAAGTGATGAAAAGCAACAAGCTGGCAGAGGAAGCATCAAAGATAGGACTCCACTTCATGTGAACATAGGTAAAACAGAGGTGATGAAGATTCCTGGCCAACACCAACAGCCACAGAAACAAAACAACAGACAACAATCAGCCAGAGTAAATTGGAGGAACCGGAAAGAGACAACCTCCTTTACCTAACCACCGACCTGGGAAGCATCGTTTCAACTACAGGCCGATGGAACTGACGAGGATATCAAGGCCAGAATCGGAAAAGCAAGACAAGCTTTCATTACTCTTAAGTCTATGTGGAGGTCAACAGCACTCACCATCAAAATTAAGATCCGGATCATCAACTCCAATGTGAAGTCAGTGCTACTCAATATGAGGATCAGGGACTTGCACTGCGCGTCATAAAGAGCATCTCAAACAAACTTCAGACCTTCATTAACAGTTGTCTTCGCTCAATACCACTCAAGATCAAATGGCCGGCCACAAAGGATCAGCGACAGGGTGGGATCTCTGGCAATGAGCGAACCAAACCCAACAGGAACCGATTGTGAAACGAATAGGCAGGAAGAAATGGAGATGGATTGGCTGGCCATACTCTGAGCAAACCAATAAAAGTGACATCACCAGACAAGCCATTGCTCGAGTGGAAGCCGAAAGGGAAGCGGGCGGCGAGTTGGTCGTCAGTGGAAGAGTGACATGGAGGAGGTGGTGTAAAGAGGAGATGAAAGCATGTGGGCAGGCTTGAAGCGGGGTGAAATGTTGGCAGAAAAGAGAAGGCAATGGAGATGCTCATCTGAAGCCCTATGTTCCTCTAGGAATTAAAGGATTTAATAATAATAATAAACTTCCACACTACGTTTCCTCCTGAAAAGTTTAGATCTTTTTGTGGACTAGCAAATATTTGTCAGTTTCGAATATTAGTTATAAGATGTCGTAGTTGTGTCCCTTCAGTTTTTTTTTCCAAGTTATGAGTGATATAACAAAGAAAATTCATTTTCACATTTCGTCATCACTCACATCATAGCTACTGTACGAATGAATTCAAGCTTTACCATAGTATTGCAAGCAAATATACGGATGAATGCCTTTAATACAGTAGGTTTGTAAAGGAAACAAACTAATTAGGTTTTTTCGTTTTTGCAATATATCTTGGTAAAAAATGTTGATGAAATACTAGCAGATACGACTGGCAATGTAGAACAACACCTGTGCACATGAAACTTAAAACATAACGCCAAAAAATTGTGAGATAACAAATTCTTTCTTTTGAATTTTTGTGGACATCATGAAAGACATAATATCCAACATATTTGGCAAGAGTTGATGTGCGACTGATAGGTAATAAAAACATTAACACGATATCGGTCGCAAAGATATAAAAAAGGAAACATAAACTACCAAAAAGTTATCATTTGTCTCTACTTGTCGCACTCGCTCAAAGCGTTTCCATACAGTTGAACACTTGTAACAATAGGAAATTATGCTAACGGAGATATTACTTCAAAGCTTCAGGATTGAAAGTGAATCATTTTCATTGCCTTTACACTTTTTTTTAAGTATAAAAGTATCATTTCGTGCAAAACATTGTGACTGTTCACTACAATTTCAGAATGATTGACAAGTTGATATAAAGATAAAACTTGGATACCGTGGTAGAGTATAACTCCATTACAAATAAAATTTTATATTGATAATATCACACAGTTTCTTACAGTAATATCTGCTGATGACGTTTCAAGAAGTTGTCAAAAATTGCCGATTTAACAGGTGTTGCCTAACTTGATACGCTAGCGTTTTACATGGAGAATGTTTAATGTTTTCCTTAACTCTGAGAGTACAGTAGTTTATGCCTTAGGACAAATTCTTTGCAGCGACTACTTTTAATTTACTAGAAAGAAGCGATAAATAATATGAGAAGGCAATTGTGAGATTAATTAACTATGGTACGTGTGATAATAGTTAATACCACTACTACTAATTGGTAAATCAGTGTAACAAATTTGAATTACATTAGAGTTATTTGCTAGAACTCAGTTTGTATTTGCGCTCTACCAGTAATGTGTGCAAAAGAAAAATAATAATCAAATTTGTTATTAATTATTGCAGAAGAAAAACAGAAGGAAATATTTTTTCACGCCTGAATATTTATTATTAATGAAGCAGGTGTGTATTCAATGGTATTCATCTAGGTCATCACTATCGTAACAGGGTCTGGGGATTTATGAAGACATATATTCAAGAATACAGTGATTTTATTTATTATTTAGGATATTTAGGCCGATAGCATCAAACCACATAAAATCAACCCAAAATATATCAACATGTGAACCTCGTAGACAAGTGAACGACTACATTACAAACTTCATTGATATAAATCCGTCAGCATTAAGGTCTAAAAGACAAGATATTGATTACGTCATGGTGTTTATCAATTTATAAGAAGAAAACAATGTTTCCACTTAAGTATCCTGAGGAGCTACAGTCTAATTTACATAAATTTACAAATAAATACTTAATATTGCTCAATTTTAGTGCTTTGTTAACAAAATCATAAGACTGAATATATAAAATGCGCATTTGATCATATTAATAAAAGTAATAATAAAAATTCTGCTAATGGCAGCAATAAACAAAGGGAAAATGTGTGGCTATGATACAATTCTAAACAGTAAGGTTGAGCGAACATATGTTCCAACGAATCTAGTAGGTAAACGGTTGGAAAATAAATATTAAGATTTCGGAACACTAGACTTTCATGGTAGCAAATACGTCATGTTCTGATGAATTTATTGAAACACTAATTAGGGGTCAACAAAAATGGTAAGCAAGATGTTGAAGTTATATAGGGAGAGTGTAGAAAGTCACTTACTTATGTTTTCACTGTCAAAGGAAGGGAAGATCCTGTAACAACTTTACGTCAATTCAGTTTAGGACTGCTAGTCAGAATACTAATGCCTTCAAATATCTACAGGCGAATGCTAAGAATATAATTTTCAACTTTAGAATACAATGACCATACCATGATGATTTATTAAAAAACATTAGTGCACAGAGATGATCTAGTTGAATGCAACGTGTGTACATAAGGCTCTCCATTGTAGTTAATATATATCAGTGTACCTTGTTAATTAAACAAACTGACTAACATTCTCTTAAAAATTTGCTACGCCTTGCACAAAATAATACTGGGCAATCTCTCAACTTGTTACCATTACCTTTTCGCTTCACTCTACAACTACTACAAAAAATGTTCTCACACATTCTCATTTTATACAAACAGTAAGTAAATAAGTGAATTTGATAACGTCATCGTCTTCAGCTTATCATAGGACGTCCAATTTTATTTCATTTTCCACCGTCGAATATTGGGTGTTTCAACTACCAATCTGCCTTGTCATTTGTCTTCATTTTAGATTGTCAGATACAAATATATTCTACCTCTAATCTTACGTTGGTTGTATGAGTCAAATGAATTAGTCCCCTACATTCTACCATCTTTTTTGACAATGGTCAAAGTGGCTGAGTCAGATGACTATGACAAGTGTTTGAAAGTTCATCTGCAAAAGATTTTGACAGAACCGAAATCACTTCAGGTAATTGTCTCTTTTTTCAACCCAGTCATTTGAGTATACGTCATGCGAGGATTTTAAAAGAAGTTTCTTTACAGTTTTATTAGGAATTTCATTAAACTCACCTTCAATGATCTAACTGTTACCACTGAAAATGTTTTATCTACACTTGCTTGTTCGTACAGTCAGTTTGAACATACGCAATATCATCGATAAAATGGATGAATTTTTATCGATTCAGCAGCATGTCTGTACTTAAAACTCGTACAGTAGTTTCTATTACTTCATAGTGGCACAGAAAGAGCTATCTGTGTAAACACTTGGGTGGGAAAATACCTCTCTCGACAATTGAAACCACACTTGTCTCTCTAAAATTTCAAGTAGATTAGGACTCAACCAGAATTCTTAGAATAATTCGATGAATTTATCATTATGTCTATGCGCTTTGTATGTTGCTAATCTTCCATTTGTTTCAACTGCCTGACGATATTCAATTGAAATATGGTAATTGTCGAAATATGGTTACATTCAAACAACAATCACCGAAACAGTATTGCGGATACCAATACAGTCTCTTAAATTATCATAGAAAATACTCCTCCGAAATATCAACGCTGGTTGAATAACGGATTTTAGACAGGGAAAAGTACTGGTAATACCAAAATATAAGTATGATTTCTAGTTCCTATTGGTGACAGAAGTGTTCTTTGTAAACGGATACTTTCACTTGTCCTTTAGATTTTGTCAGGAATATTCTTGGAAAAATCAATCAGCTATTTTGAAATCTAGCTCGACAAAGTCTTGCCTATAAAGACCTATCTCTGTCAAAGTTGAATAAATGCTTAGTGTTATAGAATTAGTGATTAAACTAATGACTGATCAATTAAACTGAGAAGTCATTTGATATTTCAGTGATAACATATACTAAGAAAACCATTTTGATAACAACGCTCACTGAGGAGGATTGAGGCGATGCTGTTCTCTGGCGTCTTTTACGTTGTCGTTATTTTTGTGAATCATTTTTCTTATGTCTGGAAGTATTCCTTCTTATTTTTTATTGTAAGAATAATCATTCGAAGGACTAATCCTCTGCAATACACTTAGTACTTTTTCTACACCAAGGTTGGTCATAATGTGATTTTGTGCAAGAAATTTTCTGGTTGAACTGATTAAATTCATTAATTATTTACACTTAAAAAAGAAGTCTTTCATGTGAACTATAGGAATTTGGGGATATCAAATGAACATCAAGCACTTAACTGTGGAGTTTCTCTGTCTAACTAAATGGTTACAAATTCTCACATGTCATTTGTCAAGTAAAAGGGCTGAAGAAAATCTCAACGTGATCTTTAAATAGTTCTGAAATACCCTAATCATCACTGAATTACAGGAGTGGGAAAAGCACACTAGTTTTTTTGGCTGTTTCATGTACTTATCTCCGGAACAAGCTGGATTCAGGAGAAACAAGTCATGTATTGATCAAATCGTCACACTACGGATCATCATTGAACAAAGCTTAGAATTGAAGTCACCTCTCTATCTCAACTTCATCGACTTTGAAAAGGCCTTCGACAGCATCGATTGCAGTAGATTGAACAATCCGACAGACAACGGCGAGCAGTGAAGAAACAGTGATAAAATGGAGCCATACAAGAAACTTGGAGGATCTGGATTTCGCCGATGATATATGTCTGATTTCCCACAAACTGGAAGATATGCAAGTGATGAAAAGCAACAAGCTGGCAGAAGAAGCATCAAAGATAGGACTCCACTTCAGGTGAACATAGATAAAACAGAGGTGATGAAGATTCCTGGCCAACACCAACAGCCACAGCAACAACAACAGACAACAATCAGCCAGAGTAAATTGGAGGTACCTGAAAGAAACAGCCTCCTTTACCTAACCACCGACCTGGGAAGCATCGTTTCAACTACAGGCAGACGGAACTGACGAGGATATCAAGGCCAGAATCGGAAAAGTAAGACAAGCTTTCATTACTCTTAAGTCTATGTGGAGGTCAACAGCACTCACCATCAAAATTAAGATCCGAATCATCAACTCCAATGTGAAGTCAGTGCTACTCAGTATACGGATCAGGGACTTGCACTGCGCGTCATAAAGAGCATCTCAAACAAACTTCAGACCTTCATTAACAGTTGTCTTCGCTCAATACCACTCAAGATCAAATGGCCGGCCACAAAGGATCAGCGACAGGGTGGGATCTCTGGCAATCAGCGAACCAAACCCAGCAGGAACCGATTGTGAAACAAATAGGCAGGAAGAAATGGAGATGGATTGGCTGGCCATACTCTCAGGAAACCAATAAAAGTGACATCACCAGACAAGCCATTGCTCGAGTGGAAGCCGAAAGGGAAGCGGGCGGCGAGTTGGTCGTCAGTGGAAGAGTGACATGGAGGAGGTGGTGTAAAGAGGAGATGAAAGCATGTGGGCAGACTTGAAGCGGGGTGAAAATGGAGAGGCAATGGAGATGCGCGGCTGAAGTCCTATGTTCCTCTAGGAATAATAATAATATAATGTACTTATCTGCATGCCTACAGACGATCACACTATACTAACACATGAAACAGAAATGTAAGATTGCATTTCTAGGTGGCTTTTATTAAGTTATGCCAAGAAAAAGAAATTTTGATGAAGCATATTAGTTATTTTTTAAAGTTGTATAAAAATTTAAATTTAAATATATATCTGAAGTAAACTTTTATCCCATAATTGACACATAAAATTTGACTGAGCTCATTACTTTAATCTTTTAAGTAAACAATGAATGAGGTCATTAGTTGTATGTTTTAAAATATTCACATCTTATCTTTTGTTCCATAAAATTAGAATTGATTAACATTTCATCTAAGTTTGACATAAAAATATAAAATTAAATGAAAATATTTAGAATAATGCTTATCTGTATTCACTCATAATTTGATTATCATTATTACAATTATTGTTTAAATGAAGACAAATGTTGACGTGTTTTCTCTTGGCATATTAGAAGAATGCCTTTATTTTTCAGTTTTAGGGCGTAGAATAAAATGTTTGGCTGGCTCAGGTAAGGCATAGCTTTACTTAAAACATTTAGTCATGCAGTTTGCCTTAGAAAAACAAATTCCCAAGGACAGGATTAGTATATTTCTAACAAAATCTGATTCTTACTTTTGACAATTTTTTAATCATACCCAGTTCACATGGACAGTAAGGACAGTAGGTAACAACGAACTCTGTCGAAAAACTCATCAAGAACCGATCGCTCATCAGATATGCGGAAGAAAGTGGAGGTGGACTGAAATTACTGAAACAAGACTGCTAAGTGAAGAGCCAGGGCGATTGGTTGAAACTGAGTCAAAGACGATGAGTTGGGCATTAGCCGAGAGTGAATTGAGGGAAATCTTGAGGGAAGGAAATGGGAGATTATAGTCAACTGTAAAGCCAGTTAAAAAAATTGCCAAAAAAAAATGAAATACAGAATAATAATATCATACTTAGCCACTTAGTTCTAGATGTTCGTGATTTATCAACTGCACATTCGTAAGTAGTAATGCTGTTTAGTATTATTATGAAGTTATTGAAATTTCCAGCCTGTGAAATTTTATTTTGCCTACAATGTTTATAAATGAGAATAAGCATCAGATGAACCACTGGAGTTAAGCTCAGAATAAGTAAACAGACACATTTCATTTGATCAGGTGATAAAACTTCTATCAAGAAAAATATGTACCTCAAATCCTAAATTCTGAAATTTTACTTTTTTCTGTCACGAAAACAGAATGAATTGTAACGGAATTCTTTATATCACGATTCTCTTATTTATATTTTAGACAACTATGGTGATTATGGATCTTTCAGACTTTTTTATCAATCACATTAGCCAAGAAGATATCGGAAATCTTCTTGTTCCAGAACTATTTGTCTGTCTTGAACCCGGTACTCCAAAGTCATTGGTGAGAGTATTTTATTGTTGCACAGAAACTCATATTTACACGTAAATGCTTGTTTAAGTCAGATAGGTTTAATGTCTTATAGCTAAAAATATACTATCCGTGATATGCACACTGAGTGCACATAAAATGCACCTATATTCCTATTTCAAATGATCTCGTGATTATTAATTGTAGCACTCACAAAAATCAGATATAATTTTTGTGTGAAAAGACTTTGAGAATTAAAAATTTTTAGTTTCACTCATCATACTAATCACTAATGTTACAGAAAACAGTAAATGTCATAATGATGGATTTCGTGGACGCTGCTGGTTTGGATGCTTTGAAAAAAAGTTTGAAAATTCACCTCAAAGAAGCCAGTTCAGTTTCATTTATCAGGGTTTTGAGAAGTTAGTCCATTTTATGGAGGTCTAAGAATCCCTGGGGTTCGAGCCCGCACCGACGCACATCTGATATCTGTGGTCGGCCTGCAAAATTTGGGCTACCGATATCCACGCTGAAAATTCCATACTTGCACCGAAAATACAGTGTGGAAATAAGCTGTAAATCAAAAATATATATATATATCCATTTTGTCCTGAAGTTTATATATGTATATATATACACAATACATTTAGCTTTTATCTGATTTTATTTTAAAGGTAGCATTACTGTTTATACTGTCTGTATAACATTAAAAACCGCCAAAAATAGTGTTTGCAGTTTAACTGGTTACAAACCCAAAAGATTCAGAGCAAAACACTTTTTTTGAAAACCTTATCACCATTTTGGCAAATGAACATAAAACGCCTTTTAAGCGAATCTTCATTGAAGTATTTTCCCCAAAGCGATACATCTAAGAACAAAGGAAGTGTGTGTTGAAAAGGGATTCTGAATACTCAGAACTAAGATTGGAGAGTTTTATTATCCCATGATGGCCCAGATTATTATTTCCTTCACGTTCCCAGTGGAGCATAGGGCATTAAGCTGCAGGCTTGAAGTTTCTGTAGCAGTGTTTATTTTTACAGGATGAGGTTGCTAGCCTCATGCCCGACCTTTCCTCTTTACCAGTCTTATTACTGGATAAGTGAGGTGTGGAGGTAAAGGTGTGCGTCGGCCGGTGATGGAACCCCAGACCATGTGCATGGTCGGCAAGCATGCTAACCGCAGTGCAACCGACGCACACGATGACCCATATGAAAGAACGAATTCAAAAATTCTTGAATAGATATGCAGAAAACTGAAAAGACTTAGAAACCAGAAAAATTTACTAATCATATAACTGACGATTTGTTTGAGAAAAATTTATTTTTGAAATAGTTCTCAGAGTTTAGCCTTGTATAAGCAATCATAGTAAAACAAAAATATACCAGAAACTGCACAGATTGTCAGTAGTTAGGATCACAGTTCTCGGTAATCTTTCCAACGAGAATAAACTCAATACAATACAATGTTCCAGTATCCGGTATGCACAAAGCCTTCACAAACATCTTACAGCATGAACATTCATGTTAAAGCATGATATTATTATTCCCTTGGGTTCCGAGTGGAACATAGGGTTTTAACAACACATCTCCACTTTGTTCTATTCTCTGATGCCCTCTTCACCTGGGTCCACGACTGTCCACAATCTCTCATCTCCTCCTCACACAATCTTCTCCATGTCGCCCTTACACCAACGACTCACTCATCGTCTCCCATTCACGTTCCACTGGAGCTGTGGCCTGCATTGGGCGCGATGTCGGTCGACGGCCTCCTCAACGTATGCCCGGTCAATCCATCTCCATTTTATCCTACATATTTGTTGGGCGATAGGCTCTTGCCTGTTGTTTCGTTTCCGGCCATAGTTTCTTGTTGCCAATTCTTTCTGACTGACTGACTAACTGGCTGGCCGTTTGGTCTTCAGCATGGAGCCATGGAAGTGAGCAGCTATTGATAAAAGTCTGCAGTCGGCTGTTGGAATTCCTTCTTGTGACAAGTCTCTGACCCATCTACAAGAAATGACTGATTTGACATTGATGTTGAAAGTCCGAATCGTGTTCTTCATGCTGACTGAGTGCAGATGATTTCCAAACTGGTTGCCTTTCCGATTATGGCTACCTGGCTGGTTTTGACATCTTCATTCGTGACGTGTGTCTGTGGTTGAAACTGCGCTTCCTAGATAAGGCTCGTGGTTTTCATCTGGGTGACCAGACCGAAGTAGATTGCTGACTCTCCAATTAAAAATTTTGACAATCCCCATCAATTCCATCCACTCTTGCAGATACCCAGAAATTCTAAGCCATATATATTCTCACTTCTTTGGCTACCTGGGCAGCCTTCCCAGCCTGCTTTGTACATTTCACGGAAACTCCACGTCTCAATTCCTATTCTTGCTTTCATGTAGAGTGGACACATTGGCTGGATGACCGGCTTTTCAGAGGCTTTCATCAGTCCACGTCATCTCACCTCTCTGATTCCAGTGAAGGATGAGATTGTTATCTGAATTTTTTTTGTATTTTTAAGATATTTTTTGTGTTAAAGTTTTTATAGCAATTTGATACGTTTATTAGTGTATGGTTGCTAGATCCACACCCAACCTTCCCTCTTTATCCGAACTTGGGACCGGCCAGAAAACTAGCAAGCTAGTTAACTAGGCAAGGCTGTTAAAGCATGCTGAAACTCTTGTAGAATCGATGACGTTTCAGGAGACTATTAGATTAAGATGAAGCAAATGACTCCCTTTAGTTACATAATTAATAAGCATAATTGATTAAAGAACACTGAAAAACTTGTCTTTTTGAGTATATTGACAACTGGTCTTGCCCAGATGCTGTTACCTTTATTTGTTGCTTGTTTTCATTTCTTGAAAATGCAGGAAACTGTACAGAATGCAATTTCAGTTTTATCAAAATATCTGAGTAGTACTCAGATTGTTCAGTTCATTTTACCACACCTTAAAGAAATTTATCATCGTAAAACATCAAATCCTAAGGTAAATATGTTTTACATATGTCGTTTAAACAAATACCTGAAATGTTCTGAATTTTATGCATAAAGCCGTAATATTACATAATGACGCATTATATGTCTATTATGGTGTTTTCCCCCTAAAAATACATTTTTATGTCACACTGTCAAAATAGTACGTGCAGAATTATATACTGCCTTTAAGTTTTCTTCAACTTATTCCATTTGCACTGTCTCACTTTTCTCTGCTCAGTTTACACGAGTTTTGTTTTCGTCTGAGTGTTGGTTCCATTATTCCGTTTTACTAAGCATATCTACTCGAGCTAAAATAAATACAGTTGACTTTATGAGCTACTGTCATTGTTTTAGACCTATTTGTTCGAATGTCAGGCGTAAAGTGAATCTAATTAAAAATTTCAATCGTTATTCATCAACCAAATGAGTATAAAATCATTTGATTATATTTATTCAGTCAACTAAAACCAAATCCAAAAGATTTGCTTATCAGATAAACGGATTATCCTTTGTGTCATTTTTCCTACTGAACAAAAACAGTAACATGAACTCATTTCAAAGTGAACAAGTTGTAGAAAGTCATTGGGCACACCTCACTTATAAGGTTAGACCTACAAGAGATTTAGTGAGAATGCTTGTTAAATTATACTTTGCCGCTTCTGAAGAAGACTTTCGTAAAGGTCGGGTTGAATCACTGTTGCATTAAGCTTCTTTGGAATAGATATATTAAGTTGGCACATGCTTCAACAAAATTTTAATAAATTTTTATGCCTAAAAGAGACTGAACTTTTGCCAGATGTACAGAAATAAAATTTGTTTACATTTTCAGGAAGGATGTTTGGTTGATTTTTCCTTTTGTTTGCAGGTGCAGTCACCCATTGCAACATTATAATGATCTTAAACAAAGTCTAATGCTAATAAGAGATGTATTCGAATCCAATCATCCATGAAGATAGCAGAAAAAACCTACAACTATTAATTAACCTGATACAGTCTTTGGTTTTTGCATAACTAAAGATTACACTTCTTTATGACAATTCATTCTGCTTCAACTAAGATGAAAGTCAGTTCATATCACAGAGGAGATGTAATCTAATAATTAACTGACTAATTTTATTTTTGTCAAATAGGAATTGATATAAGAATAAAACTTGTGCACTGTGGTAGAGTATAATTCCATTATGGGTAAAATTTATTTTGATAAATTCTGACAGTTTCATACAGTAATATTTACTGATGACGTTTCGAGCACAATTTACACTGCATTCATTAACACACAATCACACAATAGGGTGAGAGAGGATTAAAATTCTAAGAAGTAATATAGGTAGGTGAAGACAGAGGTTGATTACTGAATCCTTGTTCATCGAGTCTACACCCAACACATGCTATAGGAATGACTCATCACTCATATCGGAAATATGGAAAATACTACTACCAATCAAATCAAGTGATGGAAAATAATGGAATTATATAAACGAAGCTGGAAAGTCGTGTGATTACGTTGATGTGATTATGAGCAATAAATTGTGCTCGAATTGTCATCGGTAAATATTACTGTATAACACTATGAGACTTTATCAAAATACATTTTGCCTACAATGGCATCAAACAGGAATTGTTGGAAAAAAAAAGTTTATGATTTCATATGAATTTTACTTAATGGTGAATTAGGGATAGAAAACCGTATAAGGAGTAAACTTCTATAAAACTTTTATTTGTGCGAGTCTCAGCCACCGTGATCTGGGTAATTCCGACATTTCTTTCGGTGAATTGATAACAACAGGATATATCATATGATTAGCACCACCTTTTAAACTTTTGTAGAGCCAAAACATTACGGTATGAATTTAGCTCATTTAATTCTGCATGCCTCAAATCTTCAACGTATATTATTAAGTTGTAAATTTGTGTACAATTTGATCATTTAGAATGTCGCAATGGGTTACAAATTATTTGGCGTAGTTTAACGGTAAAGTCAACAGAAAATGAGTGTTTTCACGCTTATGCTTCAAATATATATATATATATATATATATATATATATATATATAGAGAGAGAGAGAGAGAGAGAGAGAGAGAGAGAGAGAGATACAAAGGTGATAAGAGTTTCTGACCTAATTAATGAACACAAGGAAATGCAAACTATTATGACCACTTTTCGCCGACTTATTTTTGTCACGCCTAGAAACCGGTGCTTTGCAGCAACATATACAAGAAACGGATGTATACCTAAGATATGTTGATGACATTTTTATTGTCTGTGAAAGCAGATCAAAAGCGGAAGACATGTTGATAAAATTCAATTCATGCCATCCAAATCTCAATTTCACAGTAGAACACGAGGAAAACGATACTATGAAATTCCTAGACGTTTTTCTAGCCAAAATGAATGATGGCACAATCGAAAGATCTATATTTAGAAAGTCTTCATGGACAGGACAGTACATGCATTTCAAGAGCTTTGTCCCAATCCAGTACAAAAAGAACCTAGTCAGAACACTGTTCAATAGAGCACGAAAAATTTGTTCTGACAGTACTATTGAACAGGAAATAAAATCTCTGAAGGATATTTTATCTAAGAATGGATATCCTGAGAAGTTCATTAATAAATACTCTAAAGAAACTACCCCCTGCAAAACAATTCAAACAGTTCCAAAGAAACCTGTCTATATCAATTTGCCGTTCAAAGGAGATGACGTACAAGAAGTAGTGAAACGAAGACTCGACAAAGCCATCAAGAGAACTTATTATGCTGCAAAACTTGTTATCCTTAACACCACCAAGCGAGTGCTTCAACAATCTGGGAAAGACCAGTCGCCAATCCTCGACACTTCAAACTGCATATATCAATTTGAGTGTGTTTGTGGCAGCAAATACATAGGTCGTACGGAAAGGCGATTGTCTACTCGCATGATGGAGCATTTGCCAAAATGGTTGAAAACAGCTGAGTTCAAAGTGCCAAAATCCTCAATAACAAAACATCTTGTAGATTACGGACATGATATCGACGCAGTCAAGTCATTTACCATTGTCAGCAAACAAAGAAACAAGAAGATGCTTGCAATTGCAGAGGCTTGTGCAATTCGAATTTATAAACCAGCTCTCTGTATACAAAAGGAGATGGTCGTAACTCTTAATCTACCATGGTAATACGTTTTATTCTCTACTTGTTATTATTCTACCTCTTCTTCTTACTATTATTGTTATTATTATTACCATTATTATTATTATTCTTGATTCATCTAAAACTATGCTTTATCAGTAAGATTATCTTAACTCACTTCAACACTATTAAAACTGTTATTATAACTATTACTATTGATATTAGTCTGTTTGCAATTCTCGTTATATTCCCTAGTGACTAATTGTTTATCTAAGTGATGTAATTGAAGCGTAATGCAATTTATCTTAATTTTGATCTCTCATACTCTCTCTCCCCTTATCTATTTGAACATGACCTGGAAAACATTCGCACGTGTCTTTCTGCATGATTAATTCAATGTAGTTTGTTTACTTATCAGTCTTATATCTCCCAATGTAATTTCAAAAGTATATATATCCGTGTATGTAGAGTATTCAGCTGACGAGTTCTACCGAAATTTGATGAATTCATTAATTATTGCTTTATTAACCTTTATTGCTTGTTTTAAATTCGTATCGGGAAATAAATGTTTTCAAAACTATTATGAAGATGACATATGACATAGTTAATTTTATCAAGGAAATGAAACTCTACTTAGTAGTAAAACAAGTTGAATTCATACTACAAGTTTGTCTGTTACAGTTTTATAATAAATTTTCTGTTATTTAGGGTGTGTACACTTGCTTGTTTGGTCTTCAGCTAAAATACATGACCCAAATTATGTTATAATGATATCAGAAAATGAGAAGAAACATGAAGATCAATTCTGTTAGGCTTTTTTTAGATGAAATTTTTAATAAAGAACAAAATGTCTTCATAAAAGTTTTATTCGACCATAATGGCATAAAAATGAGTCCATATTACAAGCCTAGCAAGTGATAAAACATCTTGATAAATCTGAAACTCTCTGTTCAGAGTTGATCCAGCTTCTGGCTTGCGTTCTCGTGGCTCACCACGATAAAAATGAACACAGGTTAATAAGCTTAAGCAGTATTATTTATGTAGAGTTTGAAGTACACCTTGAGTAAAATGGATATTCATCCGTAAGGCATTTATTTAGAATGTTTATAAGTGAAGGACTTTACATTTGTCTATACTTCATTTTAGATTCGTATAGCTTGTTTGGAATGTATAGGAAGACTTTTGACAAATATGACCCTATCGACGGTGTGTGAAGATGTACTCCCTTTTGTCAGCTCTATTCGAACAGTTGATCGAGAATTAGTCCTTGCTGTTTTAGGTAAGTTATTCATTCTGTTTTTAATATTTAAGATTTTGATGTAGGAATTAAGATGTGTGATGATGTGCATATTTTTCAAAATTTGTATAGTCACAGAGTAGCACTCCATCAATCAGTAACTAGGCTTCTTTTTATTTCTTATTCTTTCAGTTTCAAAGATCATGTGTTTAGTGTTGATTAAATCTGAAGAGCTCATTAGAGCAATTTAGTATATTAAATAGGACAGACAGCTTTTGACACTCAAAGCCATTTGCAGTGCATTATGAAGTCAGCCAGAAATTAGAGCTACCAGAGTAACAAAGTTATTGAAGCCACAGAGTTTTGAAGCACCAGTTCCCTTGAAATTATCGGTTTTCTTTACACTGATATTTGAATGCGTCATTTATAAATACGCACACAAGGTTTTAGTGTAGTTGCGTCTTTTAAACTGTTTGCTTTTTGAATTGAATGGCTCTAGGTAAGTGGCAAACAACCCTAGATCTACCCTTCATGTTGAATACAGTTTGTCAACAAAACAACTTATGTCCTTTAACAGGAGCTAGTCCGTTAGTCTGCCGCATTCAGAAGCACTGTCACTAAGTTATTTTAAAGTAGTAAGCTAGTAGTGAAAATTCATGACATAAATTCCCTCATAATAATGCATTTCGACAGCTGTGGACATCGATTCGACTGGGAAGATGTAAAATCGTAAGCAGAGGAAACAGAAATAAACCTTAAGAACTAATGGCTTGCTGCTTAGATTCCTTGTCAGTCAACAAACATTAATATAGACTGACTGATAGAATTCAGTCTGCACCAAAGAAAGGACTGGACACATCACGCTAGTTACTAGCGTCCAATCAAAATATCTACTACAGTCCTACAGTAAGTCAATCATGAACTCGAATAGCTCAGTGATAACGCCTCTGACTGCAGCACTGGGTGACGCGGGTTCGAATTTCAAAAGGGACATGAGTTCCTTTAAGTCTGCAGACACGCCTTGCTGACTTGTGAGTGACAATTAGCACGAAACCTAGGTTGAAGGCTTCCTGACGATTTCCCCCAACCATCTAATATCATGGGATGAGTTTGTCGATCAATGAAAAAATCACCCGTCCAAAGTGTCAGATTTCAGGTCACTGAGATCAATACCAATACAAGTGAGACAGTCACAAGAGATTATCCGCGGACAAATAAGAATTTGCAAGGGCACACTTTAGTCTAAATTTAGCGTTGAGAATATTTTCTAAAATCTCTGCAAGTAAATCCTCCGGTTGATTACACTATGTAATAAAACTAAAAACGTTGATATAAGCTACACGTCTTCATAGTACATTTGAATTACGTAGTTGATAGTAGCGTACTGCTAATTTATTCATGTTGTATAAATAAAATAAATGTATACGTAGGGCGAAATGGAGACGAATGGGAAATCTCTAAATTTTCCTAAGAATTCTAATTAGCTTCAGTCTGAGACTCTATGATATACTAGACAGCAATGTGTTTCTACAAATGCCCAGTCAAAATAGGAGTTTAACTGCAAAGTAGCTTTCCAGCTGAAAAAACCGGATTTGCAAAACCGTCTTGCTGGCTTTTTACAATATGTCTACACAAAGTCTTGTCAGTCAGCACGCTTATAATAAATGACAAAGAGAACATGAACACAGTTTTACTAAGGATAATTATCATCATACAAAATCGTAAGTTCCGCATTTATGTTATACAGTTGTTTTTATAAACATTAATTCATCTTCAGAGAAGTAATTACGACTCACTAACATTGTGACGCAATATAAACATCTAGGAGAGATTATGAAACCATACGAGTGCTTTGTTTTTCAGTGAATATTACAAAGTGGGTTAATTAAGGCTTAAAATCTCTAACTCAGTCACTGTAAAAGAAAGAAAATTAATCAGGCAAAAAAATGTCTCTTTTCATTTATCTATTCATCAACAGCTTTCTATTAACAAATACGCTTCAAAAGTTACGTCAAAATATCTATTTTATATGACTGAATTATTTAACACTTATTTATCACGACATTATAGTTTTGGCAAACGATTTAGACATTAAATAATGAATACTATAGTTGTAAAGAGTTGATAAAAACTGAATAAGTGCAATTCAATGTAAAGGCAAGTTAGTATTACAAGATGGTGGGGGGTAATTTGAACCTCAGGTAGGTGATTTTTGGTGTTATTGTGTTCTCTGAGCTGGATAGTTGGTTAACAAGTAACATTAAAATGCACGTTTTGTTTAGTGAACACTTTTAGTAAATAATTGCGGAAAATGGAAAGGAAAAAATTTCTGATGTTAGAAAAAGAAGACAGCTAGCTGAAAACTTAGTTTTATTGGGTAAAATTTTTCAAAAAAAGGTTAATTTATTTGAACCGCTTAAGCAAACCTTACTTTAAATTTGTAATTTCTGTTGTAATACTTGTAGTGATGAAATCTATTGTATGTACGCGAAGCAAGCAAGAAGTCACGCAATAGGCGAGAAATCCTAAAAAAGAATTGCTTGCATCCATTTGATGATCATTATTTAGGTTTCGCACTTCGAATCTTTTCTCTTCCTTGATGGATTACACTTAAAAATTCTGCAGTGAACTTGTTTGGTTGTTTACTTGATGTAAGGAGTAGCTGAATGCATAAAGGCTTATAGCAGACACAGAATTACACTGTGTGTTTATCCCACATGCTCTAATTATTAGGTAACTATAAGAGACAGAACAATGTTTCTTAGTGCGCAATCTTTTCTGGAAAATAATTGTTAAACATTTAGTCAAAATGTTACTCATTATAGATAGTATCACTGAATTCGAGTTTCAAAAATCATATGTATTTCTAAAATCTTTATAGTTTTACAATTGAATTAGTGGCTTGGTAACACGTGTATGAACATAAATGTACGTTTAGACTGTATGCATAGAAAATGGAATGAGAAAACACTTAAACTTATAAATTAATTAGCTAACTAATCTATTATTCAATTAAACTCGACCAAGATATGCAAGTTCATTTCTTTCGTTAATAATCATTGTTTAGTTCAGGTGTGAAACACAACACTATTCATGCCCACTGATGTTTTACGGTTACTATATTTGTCCATTTTAAATGTATACTTTTTCTCATAGTTTTCTAACAATTGGCACTAGAACAGCTTTAAATGTCTGGATAGTACCGTTACTTATTTCATCCACCAGAAGTACACATAACATATAATCATTATATATATATATATATATAACATAATTCGTCTATTTAAAATGGATTTATTGGTTCACATATACGTCCAAACCAGGTATATTTACCTAGTTTTGTTTATTTAGGAATTTCAAACGTGACCATCTAACGTAGATTAAACAGTTCAAGATAAATAGAGTCCAAATGTCTACCAACACTAAATTACTTAAAAGGATATGAGTATGTTTTTTTCATGATATTTGAAGAGGTCTATAATAACTGTTGTAACTCAGATAGTACTGTTGTTCCACTGTGCCGCATTTTTTATTTATCCCTGCCTTCTCATCTATTTTTTTTAAAATTCTTTAGTCAGTATTTGATAGTTTTAGTTTCCTCATGCATGTTGCTTGAATTTGTACCGTGTACAGTTATGACTCTCATTTCGGTTTAACTAACCAAACCTGAGGCGATCATAATATAAATGAACTTACTCCTAGTTTTTAAGATACAAATATTGTTGTTTTTGAGGAGGTTATGCCTTTTAAGATTGACATACACTTCTCCGACAGTGAAACAATACATCCTGTTTGTTTTCAAAAATCTTGCATTAACAAACTATTTTATGTCTTGAGTAAAACTTAATTTCTTGTTTAAATGTATCATTCCAAATAAATAAAACAACTTATTGATTTGACTTGCCACATACAAGATGTATTTAAGTGGAAGACGAAATTAAAAAGGTAGCCAGGAGGTTTGACTTACTGAATGACTGACTGACACATGAAAATGATTGTCTACGTCAAGTAGCTTGATGACAGTACTTGACTCAAGCATGTGTGCATGACGAAAATACTCTTTCAGAATAATTCTAATAGAAGTGAAAATAGTATTTTTCTAAGATGCATTTTCATCAACTGAGGAACTTTGATTATAGTGCTTCTGTAAAGTTATCTAAATATCCACTAGAAGGTTAATTCATGCACATGTTCCAGCAACTATTCGCATTATAAATCCAAGCAGTTTAAAATTAAACTTACATGGGCTTCATATAAATGTGAAGTAGCGTGGTCACTGGCTTTACATTTAATTCACCACTCGTCCCCGTTACTAGTATTCCTGTCCCATTTTACTCTCATTTTTCTAGTGCTTTGTTTTAAAGGTCTATAGTTACTGGCAGAATTTGTATTTTATCTTTCTTTGTAGCTACTAAATAATTCTTACTTCATGAAACCTGGTAAATTTTCCCCACGTTTAATATCTGCTGAACTCGTACTCAAATTCCATTAGCCTCTTTATACCTCAACTGAAATCTTGTGGTGATCTAATGATAGGTAATAGTCTTATTGACCAGTTATCATCTTAAACAGGAAAAGAAATGTGTTTGCTATAATATCGTTTGCTTCACTCCTAATTATAATAGAGCAGGTTTCTTCATCATTCAACAAGATTTCATTTGTTATGAATTAATTTGCAAAGAAGACAATCTTAGATTATAAGAACTCAGTTGGTTTACTTACATTTTCATTTCTGTAAAGTGTTTAGTTACGTTTTATGGAATGATCTCAGCTTTAATTAATTTTATTTTCTTTTTTTAAAATTAACTTTTTATGCAATGTCTTTTAAATATTTGTAAAGATTGCATCTGTCTTTACTCAGATAGTTTTTACTCTTGTATGAATAAATGGAATATACTTAATTGACATCATACCTACAAATATTCTCAATTTTACTGGAAAAAGAGGACTCTGAAACTGTCTAAATTTTCATTAAATGGATTTGTTCGGCACCAAGGAGAAAGTCAACCGTAAACAGAGAACACTGAGTATTTAGACACTTCACTCATCGACTCGATTAAATTGTATCCGAATGATCTCATTTAATCCAGCATCTTTGTTACGCTGAAATGTTCAGTGCATTGATTCTCCATTAGCGTTATTTGATGTGAATCATGTCTCTGAAACTCTCAGTTAAATCTCTTAGGCAGTCAACAAATGCATTTCATCCTTAGTTAAACAAGTTTGTAGTACAGAACAAGAGAATATCAAGACTTTACGTAAGATCACGGAAATTTTGAATTTAAAAGTTCATATACCAGATATTCTGTGGAATGATTACCGTCAGTGTCTTACTCAGAGAAGTGCAGTGCTTTCGTTTATTATTTATATATTATTATTACTCCGATTGTAACACAAGAATTTAATGCTATATCTCTACTGCAAGCGATTCTCTTTCACTTTCTTCTGGTTCCACGACTACCCAAAAACTTTCATTTCCTCTTGACATGACCCTTTTTAAATCATTCTCAGGTACTCAGCCCATCGACTCGCGTCTAGGTTCTAGTCGACTGCCTGACGTATTATATCTTTTGAAAGCCTCTGTAATATTTTTCTCAATCCATCTTTGTTTTCTTCTGAACATTTAATGGACCATAGGTTCTTGGCTGTTAGTTTTCTGACTGCCAGAGTTAACTGTTGTTAACGCATCCATCTTCAGTATCAAGCTACAGTCACCGTTGATGAAAGTCTACAGTCTGTTGGAACTGTTGTAAGTGATGCTCATGCTGATTCTCTGGACCATTTACACTGAGTTATGAAAACATATCTTGCCTTCACGATCATTTGTGGCTTTTATAGCTGAGATGCTGACCAGGTCAGAGAAGGAGATCACTTTCTTTAGATTTCTTTAACTGATGGTTACTTCCCCGTCACCCTTATTTCTACAACAGGTTCATTTTTCTTGTATTTAAGTGCATTAATATTGTAGATGATATTATTTGGTAAATTAAACACTCATCTAATTTTGAAAGTAAGTGATAGGAAACAAATGATAGGTCTTGGAATTTAACAATTTCATTATTTTTTTTCTTATTATTTTAGCTTTAAATCGCCGACTTATATCAGATAGGAAAGGAGAAATTTCTTATACCTACATAGCTGGAATGTTATTACCATCTATGGTTAACTTCTTAGCTCTGCAGACACTAACTATTTCTGATGTGAGTTTGCTGATTACTTATATGTCTGAACCATATCGATAGGTAGGTTGCCATTTAAAGCTATTAGGAGAATCTTGTGTATTTTATATGCATTTTGATTAATAGGTAACCTGAAGGTTCCACAAACTTTTTGCGTTGATTAAATAGTCATATGCAAAAATCTCAGCGACCATAAACCAATTGATTCCAACTTTTTGTTTACCAGTGGTTCAGTATTCATCGGGGAAACAGTTTAAATTAAAAATATCAGAGGTTTATGTAGGTTGAAATACATATTTTTTATTCAAACTCTTTGTCCAGTTTTGTCTGAGTTCTAAATAATCATCACGGTAAAAAATATTAGTCATTTAGTTGTTCGCTGTAAACAAAGTACTTGTGTGTACACATATAATTGAATCTATGGATGCCAAATAAAACTAGCTTTGCTTGGGTTTCGATAGAATGCTGACACCATTACGTTTTAAAAACATTTATGACACAAATTTCTGACCAAATGACTTTTGACAGCCAACTAAACATACTTTCCAGCCAGAATAAAGTCTCATCTGCAATTTATTACAATTATACTTTTTAATTTTGATAGTATTTCCAACGCACTTAACACTTCTGATCACACAGGTTTCTGAGATTCTCTCAATATGATCATCTAAAATAATGTCAGTAAGAATATTACTAAAATAAAAACTTATCATTCTATGTACCCAACCATGACTAAGATGATTAAAATAAATTAATCCATTTGACGGTGCGTCGGTGGCGCAGCTCTAGAATGCTCGCCAACCGCACATGTGGTTCGGGTTTCGATCCTCAGCCTCGCTATGCCAGTAATAAGACTGGTAAAGAGGGAAGGTTGGGCATTTGGCTAGCAACCCCATCGTGTAAAACTAAAAACTCCACTGCTACCGAAACTTCAAGTCTCTAGCTTGCAAACCTATGCTCCACCGCGAACGCAATTTATTATTATCTATTATTATATCCTTTAATTCCTAGAGGAACATAGGGCTTCAGCCGCGCGTCTCCATTGCCTTCTGTTTTCTGCCAACTTTTTCACCCCGCTTCAAGTCTGCCCACATGCTTTCATCTCCTCTTCACATCAACTCCTCCATGTCACTCTTCCACTGACGACCAACTCGCCGCCCGCTTCCCTTTCGGCTTCCACTCGACCAATGGCTTGTCTGGTGATGTCACTTTTATTGGTTTCCTCAGAGTATGGCCAGCTAATCCATCTCCATTTCTTCCTGCCTATTCGTTTCACAATCGGTTCCTGCTGGGTTTGGTTCGCTGATTGCCAGAGATCCCACCCTGTTTCTGATCCTTTCTGGCCGGCCATTTGATCTTGAGTGGTATTGAGCGAAGACAACTGTTAATGAAGGTCTGAAGTTTGTTTCAGATGCTCTTTATGACGCGCAGTGCAAGTCCCTGATCCGTATACTGAGTAGCACTGACTTCACATTGGAGTTGATGATTCGGATCTTAATTTTGATGGTGAGTGCTGTTGACCTCCACATAGACTTAAGAGTAATGAAAGCTTGTCTTACTTTTCCGATTCTGGCCTTGATATCCTCGTCAGTTCCGTCTGCCTGTAGTTGAAACGATGCTTCCCAGGTCGGTGGTTAGGTAAAGGAGGTTGTCTCTTTCCGGTTCCTCCAATTTACTCTGGCTGATTGTTGTCTGTCGTTGTTGCTGTAGCTGTTGGTGTTGGCCAGGAATCTTCATCACCTCTGTTTTATCTATGTTCACCTGAAGTGGAGTCCTATCTTTGATGCTTCTTCTGCCAGCTTGTTGCTTTTCATCACTTGCATATCTTCCAGTTTGTGGGAAATCAGACACATATCATCCAGATCCTCCAAGTTTTTTTGTGTGAGTCCATTTTATGCCTGTTTCCTCACTGCTCGTCGGTGTCTGTCGCATTATCCAATCTACCGCAATCAGGAACGCAAAGGGATTAAAAAAACATTTCAAACTTTCCACAGACAACAGGTATTCTCAGTAGACCTCATTATTTGTGTATGTTTAACACTATCTGAGCGCTCGCGAGTCCATTCCTCTTGATAATAGTTATGTTAGATCAACATAAGCACTTCATCTGTTAGCTGCCTGAACTTCAATTATCAGTAACACTTCGTATTCTCATTCAGTCAGTAACAGTATATATATATATATATATATATATATATATATTTGTTAGGTCATCAAATGGCGGAAACCAATTTCATGGTTTGACACCATAAACTTACGTTTTCATTATCTTGCTGAACAAAACTGTTCATTTGTTCACTGTACTATGTCTCTTTATTTAAATTGACAAATTTTCAGTTCCGGGCAGTCATTAATTTAACACGGACTATGTTGGATTTAATTGACCGTCAGCGTTCAATTGAATTAAGGTCTCAAACTGTTTCAAAATCGGCCGGTGGAAGCTGTTCTGATATGAGGTTTGTTATTAGTATTTTAACAATCAGCACTGAAGTTTGCCAGCAAAACGCTTGACAAACTAATTAATACTATCATAGCATATTATATTTTTGCAGACAAGTCATGACAGCACTTATGAATTATTAGGGATGAATATTTGCTTGAATTCTAAACAGATGTAAAATTTTTCTACAGAATATTATATACTATGTTTGGGGTTGACTAATCATGAACAGATAGAAGTGTAGTTATGGCTCATCTGAATACGCTACTGATCTTTCTGATTCTAGGCACAAATTTCAGGTACTCTTAAGTTGATTCAGAGTATTATTTGAGTTCCAAAAACATTTTAAGCGAATATAAATAGGTGGTGAAGATGACAACAAATATCTACAAGAGAACTCTGAATTTTTTGACTGTTATAGCTTGAAAGCTTAACAGTGGATTCATTATCGTCATGAAATGATTTTCAAACGATATAGGTACCTTAAGAAGTTTCTAAAATATTCCACTCTCTCCAAAAGAAACACGGTACACATTAGTTTCAGTTATACAGTATGAAATTTAAAAAAAGAAGAAACTCCATACTAATCCGTTACTAGTGAGTTATTAGTGTGATTAGTCTAGTTCTTTATGTTGGTGCTGATTGAATTCCGTCATCCATGTTCAAAACGTGATTCACCATTGTCATGAAATACTGAAGATCGCCTTTGACCAACAAACAGCGAAAAAAACGTATTGATTATCTCACAAAACTGCAGAAAAATATCTTTTGGTTACTCATAAGGATGATAAAATATGTAACTTTTGAAACTGTATTAACATGTTATAATTTTCATCAGCCAACAGTTGCATGTTTATATGTTATATACCAAAGACACCTTTATGAATTTCGAAAATACAAAGCAACCTGGCCTATTTCTTTTTTCAACCTTATTATTATTTTGTATTTCTTGTTTTTGTTTTCACAGTTCACCATTTGCCCCTCCTCGAAATCTTCCATTAATTGCTATGCAGCGTCCAACAATAGATTCGGAATTATTATGCGCAGATATAGATGATCCAAAACTTTCAAGATCAAGTTTAGGTGAGATATATATCTGACTAACTAACCTGTGTGCAAGATTTATACACTAAGGGATTTTAAATCACCTATTCCTGTAACCCTTAAAAAACAGATGTTAATGTACTACATTTATGCTCTAAAAACACCATCCGTAAAGGAATAGCATCAATCCAGAAGATTTACGAGAGGGTCAAATAGTAATAGTCTACTGGGCACTTAATCAACCTCATGAATGTTTCAAGGAAACACCATATATTGAGAATACTTACTGGGATATTTAATATTTCTTGAGTAGTAATTCGGTTCATAATAGGCTATAAAAAATAAACACTGTAGAAATTTGGATACAAAGCAGCTGACAAAGATACCAAACAGAAGCAGCTTAACACAGTTCTCCAGATAAGTTGGTCTGATGCTTTCCTATAGTCGACACCCAATATTTTCTAACAATGATACGCTTACTGTTAAAGAAAATAAGTTGTAGCAATATGTACAGTGAGAAAAACTCCATTTTCTCTAAATAACTAGCAACCCCATCCTATAAAACTTAAAACGCCACTGCTACCGAAACTTCAAGCCTCTAGCTTGAAGCCCTATGTCCCACTGGGAACGTAAAGTAATGAAAATAATAATAATACCGTGTTACTGTGTGCTTTTATCAAATAAAATTTTGTTATGAAACTGCCCTCTACCACAGTGACCAAATACTATTCTTATAACAAAACAATGAGCTTACTTGCTAACAAGATTGTAGTTAACTCCTATGTTCCACAAAGTAATTATTTTAAAAACTATGAAACCTACACAATCGAGTATTTCACCTATAAATCTTGCGGAAAGGCTGGCCACCATTACTGCTCTGTATATTTAGTGAATGTACATACGACTTAAAAAAAAATACAAACTGATTGTTTATTTGTTTAAAATATTAATTCTTTCGTCAGATTATCGACGTAGTTCTGGCAGTGAAGTAAGCGGCACTAGTCGCTGGAGTAGGAATAGTTTGCTGCTCCAACGATTGCAAGCATCACAGCATCGATCAGAGAGCCTCCTTTTCAATACAAAGCACAGAAACTGTAAGTTTTATCATAATGATAAAATTTATGAATATATTTACAAAAAAGATGCATTTACTTGCATTTATCGCAGGTTTTTGTTCCTGTGTACTTGGATAAAAAATGTTTTTCAGTGTTTCTAAATTTATGGAGTGAGTCTGTGATCTATTCGACTAAGATAGTGCACAAAGATTTATTGGATTTATTGCTCTGAACTATGTCAAGTCAATCAAAATTTTAACACTGTTTATTCACAGCTGGAATTTAAAAAGAAATTATACTTTATCACAATGCTTAAGTTTCACAATTGTATTCAGCCCTAAATTTGTCTTAAAATACATACTAAGAAGACGAGCCAATGAGTTTTATTTGCGTATGCGAATACATTCTTGCAATAACATCAATGAATTCCACATCTCAAAGAATGATCGATGATAAGAAACTCCTAGAAAGATTACATCATGGGGTTCAGATTCATTCTACTAGCTAAAGAATTGAACGCAAATTTTCGATGTGAAGTATTCTGATGGAAGTCATTTAGTGAACAAATGAGTTCCCGTCTGTATTTAATTAACTCATTGTACGACTGAAAGCGAAGCACTGGTGCACAAGTCGTAGGATTACAGAATCACTAAAAAGGAAAATATTACTCTCAAGAAAAGAGGAATAAATGTTTTACGCCTCAGTAGTTTTATGTGGAAAATCACATTAATAATCCGAAATCGTCAATATTTAAAAAGCATTGAACGTAACTTTCTTAACTGTAGGATGACAAAAAATAAATTAAAATGTTAAGAAGGTTTATTTCCTAATACAATTTGAAAGCTAATTTCATGGATGAGTACCCATTCCTTGTGAACGAAGCTACCTACGAGTATTATTATTATTATTGCTTCCTTGGGTTCCTAGTGGAACATAGGGCTTCAACTGCACGTCTCCATTTTCTTCTGTCTTCTGCTATACTTTTCGCCTGCATTCATGTTAATCCATACTCTTTCAACTCCTCTTCACACGATCTCCTCCATGTCACCCTTGCACCGACATCCCACACGCCGCTTCCCTTTCGGGTTCCACTCGAGGGCTTGGCGCGCGATGTCACCCAGCGGTCTCCTCAGAGAGTGTCCGATCCATCTCCACTTTCTCCTGCATATTTGTTGGGCGATTGGTTCTTGCTTTGTTTGTTCCCATAATTCCTTGTTGGTGATTCTTTCCGGCCCGGCCATCTGATCTTCAGTATTGAGCGAAGACAGTTGTTAATAAAGGTCTGCAGCCTTTTGGAAATATTCTTTGTGACCCGCCCGCGAAGTTTCTGATCCGTATAGAAGAACTGACTTTACGTTTGTATTGAAAATCCAAATTTTGTTGGTGATGCTGAGTGACGAAGATTTCCAGATTGATTTCAGGCTGATGAATGTGTTTCTCGCCTTCCCGATTCTCGATTTGACATCCTCGTCCGCCAGATACTAGCTTGCTAGGCTACTAGCTTACTAGTTTTCTCGCCAGTCCCAAGCCCGGGTAAAGAGGGAGGGTTGGGGCGTGGTGCTAGCAACTCCACCCCTGTAAAACAACCAAATCGCTACAGAAACTTCAACCTACGAGTATGACTAACAATAATAACAACATATCACCCCCCCCACACACACACTAAACACAAACAATACACTGGTTTAATGAACCTGTTAACTATTCAACATATATTTATCAACTATGAATAAGACTGTTTCACTGGCCATTCTACAACCAGAATATATTAAGAGTACTTTTCTTCCAAATCCGAGTTTAACAACATTCCGTGTTAATGAAGTAGGAAGATATTATTTTGCTGCTCCAGTATCTTTTGTCACTTTCAAATAAACAGCTGCCAAACCATTCTGAATTATACAAACAATGACAGACTTTAAACCGTTCTTCGTTTCGAAAATATTATAGAAGATAGGCATTATAGACGAGGATAACAGACGAAATCTCGCTTCAAACAGTTCGACAAACCCCGATGTTGCTTACTGTTATGCCATAAGCATAATAATAATATTATTATATCTCTATTGCTGATAAATAAAAAACTTAAAATTTGCATAAACTTGTTGCCTGAATACTTGTCTCCGCATAATTTAAGATTTCACTCTCTAAAATTGCTAATTAATTTGCGTTAGATTATATAGACCTGTTTTAAAGCAGTTGTCAACTTTGTCTCTGATATTTCGGTTGCATAATACTAAGAGAATTATTGCATGAATAGTCACTAGTGAGTAAACTACGTAAGGTTCTAAAAACTAAAATGTTAACACAGAAGACAATGAAAGTAATTGTGGACCTATATTTTTAGCTATCAGTATATCCTTTTAACCAGAAACATTGAAACATCAACTCCACAAACGCATTGTTTTTAACAGAAATTTATAAAAGATACTATATGAAAATACTTTTAATATCTTCTATATATATCATCATGTATCAACTTGTCATAATTAACTGTCAGTGTTATCAGATATTCATTAAATATGTTTCGACCAGGGAAACAGCATTTGTAATTAAGGCGTATGGAGCACATAATATATTCTTGTCCACCGGCATGGTAATTATTATAATTCTCGGTGTTACCATAAACTTCTTTATATATATATATATATATATATACTGCGAACAAGAACAAGGCGTCCAACAATCTCTTATATTTAATCGTTTGCAATTAGGGATGTGTCACAGACAAAACTGCCAGATAAGGAAAAAGCCATCAATCTACATTATAATGACTTCATATTATCTCCGATTCCCAAATTCTAAGAGTTTTGAGGTTTTGTTTATTATTGAAATACCAGTAATTATAATTGAGGTGGAAGTAATGAATATTAGTTTTTCCCTTCTGTTTAAGCAGTGACTGTGAGGGGTTCTTGACATGACAGTTTTTCATTCACTAGTTTTGGTAGAACTGTTGTAGGTGTGTCACTAGACTAGGTATTGGAAAGTCTATATTACAGATGAAATTATGAACACAAACTACGAATGAGAGATAAATCTGTCTGCCGAAATTCATTAGTCGATAGAATTAGGAATCAAGGACAAGAAGTTTTATCGAACAGACGCATTTAACAAAGAGGCATCTTCATTATAAAGTCTAGAAGTGCAAATCACTTCAGGCAAATCTTGCTAGTCTACTATATTGCTGATAGTACACAGTATTGCAGTAGACTGACTTATTTCTATAGAGTTCAAGTGCTAGTTTCGTGTGATCCAATTGAAAACCGTGAAAGTCATTCTAACTAGTCATTCTGAATTCCCATTCTTATCTTTGTACTGGTCACCTTCTTGAGCTTAGAGCTACCAAAGTATCCTTTTCTATGAAACGCTTTGAATTATTCCACTTTGTATTCGTTTTCACTAAGCAAAGACACAGTCATATCATACAATTTTACACCAGCATTTTAAAAATGTTCCATCTTAAGCTTTTCATATTCCTCATAAATTGGTAGGAGAATAACAAAGGGGATGGAAATGAGCATTTGGAGTATTCAGACATAAATCAAATAACTATCTTTGAATTATTTAGCCCACTTTGTAGATACCATGTTTATTTATTTCTTTTGATTTTATTCATAAAAGTGATAATTACGTTGCAGTATGAAAACGTTGAAAATTCCATTCTGTACAAAAACATTATATAGAATAATGTGACTAATTTCAGTATGATATCAAGAAATATTTTAAGCTTGAGTTTAATTTATGCCATCACTTATTTATTTATAGGAATAATATTTTATCACTATTATTTGCTTGTTTATAGAGGTTCGGAGTTTTATTTCTCCTACTTTCTTTTCGCTTTCACTCGTGAACAACACATAAACAGTGTTGTCCAAGGGCTGGCGTGACATTTTGTCGTAAACTACTGAATGAAACTTCGTAAAGATAATAGCGAAATTCGATCTGATGGTTGGTTGATCAGCCTGATAACTGCAATTAACTTTCAACTTAATGCAAATTGGTTTCAAAAGTGATTGTAAACTTAGGGAGACTTTTAACAAGATATAATATGACATTATAAACAATTACGAATCGACAACTTTACTTACATTCTGTGATTATTTACTGAACCATTAATTAGAAACAGAAGTGCCTTAATAAGTTCATACCATTTTGCCAAACTAACGTTGGGATTAATTATTTCACTTCCTCTAAGATTTTTTAACTTTACTAGGATGGGAGTTTGAGTAGTGCTCCACTTTTTATTTTTAATATCCACACACTATATCCAGTTGTGAGTGTCTAATGTAATACTCTTGTTTGTGTACCTATTAATGGGTGGTAATGTAAACATTGTAATAAACTGTCTAGACAAATGATTAGGTTTGTAGGCTGATAGACTTATTACTGGTCAGTATTAACTAACTACTACACAGAGTTATGGAATTGCAGATCTACTTTATTCAGATCATTTGATTTTGTTTAATAAGCATTATTTATGATAACTCCAATTCAATTCGACTTTATTCATAAATCATGCAGCCTAGAAAAATTTTTAAAAGGCTAAAATGAACTCACAAATACATATATATATATATATATATATATATATATATATGTATATATACATATACATCCAACAAAATTCAGAGAATTTTCATCAAAAAGTAAGAAAATATATTGTTGCTTGTAACTAGCTAGACAAGGTTCGCTAACTAACTTAGATTACATTCCCCTGAAATAATCTGTTGCCTCACTTCAACAGAAATCAAACTTCTGTTCCACAATACATTTATTCACTAAATAGAAATAACGTGTCCAATAAATAATAAGTAGAGAGAATTCATCTTTAGAGGCTTTGCCAGTGTATTCATATTTACGAAAACATATATCAGTCTACTACTACTTACTGATGGAGACAAGTTCCTTCATTGATTCAGTCACCTAAGAGTGATTTTTAGAGACTGAAATTTAAAATTATTTAATAATCAACAAGAAAATAGCAGTGAGCTGATCTGAAATTTGATAAGGCATGTTCTGTTACTGGATGAGTAGCCAGTTGGACCATTACTAAAATAAAATCTATAAAAATAGACATATTTATTCCAAAAGTTCCTAGATTTAACGGGAATCTTATAATATATAGAGCTAGTGCTTTTATAAAACAGACAACCTGTTCCCTGTTGGTTATTCAATCACACAATTTTCAAAATGAACAATTACATATCACCTTGACAACAGTGAGCAAAATATTCTACAAACTATGCTAAAAAATCTAAATTCAGTTTTGACCAGTTTTCAGGAAATGAAAAAAAACTACATGATGTTAAAAACAGTTGTAATCAAATGGATATTTATAAAAAAGAGTAATACATTAACAGACCGGATGATAAAATAAGGTCAAGTGAATTAAGTACAACTAATAAATAAAACATGTTACACGTGTACTGTCGGGAGAGAGCATGGTCAAGTTTATTGATAGATTAGTCTTTAGACAAGCTGCATTTCCTCCGAATCAAAACAACAAAAAACTTCTTTAGAACACAAAATTCTTGATAATACGAACATAAGAACTTGTAGATGTAAACCGTCAACAACGTTGAAATTGGAGTACTTGATTTTCAGATTTAATAAGTTCCATAAAAGTGTACACCAGCTTTTTTTTCTCATCCTTAGCCACTGGAGATCACCGATTCTGGAATGAAACCTCAAGCAATCCGAGCTTTAATTATCATGCACATTCTGGTGGAAATTCTCGTGTAGGTGCCAGTCCTTTCTACATACAAAGTCCAGTTTCTGGAGATTTACACAAGATACGAAGATATTCTGGAAATTTGCCAACTCGGTCAATGGAAAACCAGGTAACTGTATAGTTCAACAATTGGTTGTTAGAAGATAATTTTGAAAGATAATACAAGGATGTGAAAATCACCATGTCAGAGACGTGTATCGTAATGTCATCCTCTGAGAGGATGTAAACAGGGTTTTTGTGACATTTCACAGACCTGATAGAACCTAAAATGATATACTTTGAATCCCAATAATATATAGGATGACCTAAAGTTTCCTAATTTACAAAAGAAGGTCCAGAGTTTTTCGAAGGCCCCCGAAGACTATTAATTGATAAATCGGAGAATTTGTGTGTTTGTGATAATACATTTCCATCCTGGAAGAGAATATTAACTGACACAGCAGCTACTCAAAGAAGTACAATTCTGTAACTGTGAGTCACCTTTCACTCTGCAAACTTTTTCCCTACGAAATGTCATGTACTGTTCACTGTTAAAAACTTTGGCAACCCGTGTAGCGGATTTCTTCTTTCCTTCACATTTCTTTAAGACGCAAGCACAATCGTAAACTACACTCACATAAGATGCAACACATCTCAGCCATCATTTGGTGGTCATGCTTTCCCGTTCTTGATATTATTTATTCCTGTCTAGAACATTCGCAGCATTTTATGTGAATAAAATTTCAGAAGTAAATTAAAAAATTAATAATTTTAACTACAGCTTATCATTGGAGCTCAACAATAAAACTTCATATTCAAAATTAAATTCTATTAATGGGATCATGAACACTCTACACATTACTTCAACCATAAAATGCAGTGTCTAATTTATGAAATATACTTGATATCATGGTAAGTAAGTTACTGGATATAAAAATGAAGAAGTATTTTTCCACATGTCGGAATATCGAAATGCTAATTTGAATTTGTTGCTCATTTGTCACATTTTAGTCTGTTTCAAAGGAGTCGCACTTATTATGCCTTCCACTGACTAGATATTCAACAGACATCTACAAACTACTAGAGTTAAACCTTTCTGCCTCTCAGAATGCACTCGTACCCTGATTACTATGGAAAGAATATATATATATATATATATATATATATATATATATATATATACATGATGGATAGATATCACTATTTGTGCAAGGATATTCGTGTTACATTTATCACAGGGTCAGTCAAATTTAGGGTTAAAACTACACCCTGTGGTGATATCCCAGTAGCTGAGTTGTGACAGATGGACGAAGTACTAATTTTTTACGTTCTCCTTTAGTGAATTCGTGCAGACACTCGTATTGAAAAACACCAAATAATTTAACAATTTTCTGACAGATATTTTAGGTTTTGCTATCATATCATATTAGTAATAAATTGATGAATAATATTTCATTATTGTTTTCTAGGTGAACACACTGTTGAAATAATTTCTATTTTATCTCTCTTCATTCAAAGGACAACTTAGGTTCATTAAATGTCCCAAGGTACAACAGTGGATTTTTGGATCCCAGAAGACATAGTTACGGTTTCACACCAAGTACATCAACAAAATCCTTGATTACTGTTAATGTATGCGAAGGGCCTTTTGTTACTCCTTTCAGTTATCGCAGTTCAATCCGTCGAAATTCTGGTTGGAGTTGTGGACAGTTTCCAAGTTCTCAAGTGAGTATAACTACTTTATAAAGAAATCAATTATATTCATATACACGAAAAAGTAGTATACAATTTCTGTAACAGCTTTAAACAAGTAAATTGGATATTAATGATGTTAATGCGATACGAAAGTGAAGTGGGTTTGTAGACAATTAACCTCAACATAATTAAATTTGATGATATTAGATGGTTGGAGGCAATCAGCACGAAGCCTTGCTCGACCTAATTTTCGTGCCAGTTGTCACTCACAAGTCAGCAAGGCGTATCTGCAAACTTGAAGGAACTCATATCCCTTCTGAAATTCGAACTCGCGTCACCCAGTGCTGCAGTCAGAGACGTTATCACTGAGCTATTCGGGCTGTCGATTGACCGCCTGTAGGAGTGTAGTGGATACTTTGATTGGACACCAAAGAAAGGAGTAGACACATCACACTCGTTACTAGTGTCTAATCAAGGTATAATTAACTTTATTTCGCACTGAGTAACCTAGTAAGCAAATGCTTTATGACTGCGATATCTTATATCTGCATAAAGAATATAATACCAGGTATGCTTTTATCAGGATTTTCAATGAAATAACCAATAAAGCATAGATATTATTTTGAAGCAGATACAAGAATATTTGAAGGTACTTTTGGTAGCCCATCGTGAAGACACTTCTGTACCTATTAGAATGTTTTTTAGAATTATTTCGTTTAGTATTAGGTTACTTCAGAGATGTTAGATTATGAGATAGGTGCTTCACGACAACCAGTGATAATAAACAACTTCAAGTGAATCGAAATTTCTCTTTGTGCTACGCTAGTCCAAGGCTGAGTAACTCAGTAACCTAAACTCAAATTTGGTGTATTATAACGTAAAGGAAAATAAGCGTCAAATAATGGAAGAAACCGATAATCGGCGTAAAATGCTGCCAGTTACAATATTCTTAGTAGAAAAATATAAGTAGAAATGCAAGAGTGATAAGGTAAAGGTCAGAGCCTGATTGCAACATTTTAAAATTTACAGCTGTTTTGTCGAATCTTGCAGTCGAAGAATTACTACAAAATCACTTTTGTCCTCGTAAATGAACAATATTAGACTAGAATATTAGACTAGATACATTCAGACGTAATTACTGAAACTATTTGGATGAAGTGAGTGACAGACATAAAGTCTATAGAGGTAATCTAGTTTTTCGGAAAATGAAAATGTTATGTAGGAGATCATCTCTATGGTGTTCCTCTTAGCAACCTTGTATGAATACAAATTCGTGTGGCAAAATGAATAGTAGGCATCTCACATGCTCAGATGCAGAAACAATATTTCAGTATATACTGACAAAACCAAGCTGTTTTTTGTTCCTACTGATTTGTTTGTAAAATACATGCATCTCATTGAGAAAAGGTAATATTTACACTACATGAAGTTTTGCACAAAACCTATTTTTATGAAAATATTATGCGTTTTACATGCTAATGAACAGTAAGTTTTGTTCGAAAATTTCCTTCACGAAATATCACCACCTTTTTAACTGTGTGATATGGCGCAGGCGAAAACCAAAAAAACTGGCTGAAGAAATATGCTGCGAAGACAGGACTCTAAGTGAACATAGAGAAGATAGAGCTAATGAAGAAAAATAGCCAATCAACAGTAACAGCAGTCAGCACCAATCACCATCGACGGGAGAGATTTAACAGAGGTCACTTCTTGCATTCACCTATCTAGAAAGCACAGTCTTAACCACAAGCACACGTCACGGATGAAGATGTGACAGTAGGCCATAATCAGAAAGGCAAAATATGCCTTCATCAACCTGAAACCAGTTTGGAAACCAGCTGCACTCAGTCAGTATAAAGAACACGATTCGGATTTTCAACACAAATGTCAAGTCAGCCATTTCTTGTAGATGGGTCAGAGACTTGGCGTGCGTGTCACGAAAAGGAATTCCAACAGCCAACTGCAGACTTTTATCAATAGCTGCTCACTTCCATGGCTCCATGCTGAAGACCAAAGGGCCAGCCAGCCAGTCAGTCAGAAAGAATTGGCAAAAAGAAACTATGGCTGGAAACGAAACAACAGGCAAGAGCCTATCGCCCAACAAATATGTAGGAGAAAATGGAGATGGATTGACCAGGCATACGTTGAGGAGGCCGTCGACCGACATCGCGCCCAATGCAGGCCACAGCTCCAGTGGAACCTGAATGGGAGACGATGAGTGAGTCGTTGGTGTAAGGGCGACATGGAGAAGATTGTGTGAGGAGGAGATGAGAGACTGTGGACAGTCGTGGACCCAGGTGAAGAGGGCATCAGAGAATAGAACAAAGTGGAGATGTGCTGTTAAAACCCTATGTTCCACTCGGAACCCAAGGGAATTAAAATATTATCATAAGTGTGTGAACAGGCGGAACTGACGAGGATATCAAAGCCAGAATCGGAAAAGCAAGAGAGGCTTTCATTACTCTCAAGTCTGTGTGGAGGTTAACAGCTCTTGGCATGAAAACAGGATGGGGATTTTCAACTCCAATATGAAGTCAGTGCTACTATACAGATCAGAGACTTGGCGCGTCAAAAAGAGTTCTTCGAACAAACTAAAGACCTTTATCAACAAATGTCTTCATTCAATACTCAAGATCAGATGACTAGAAAAGATCAGAAACAGGGATCTCTGGGAGCGAACCAACTAGGAACCGATTGTGCAACAAATATGCAAGAAGAAGTGGAGGTGGATTGGCCATACTCTGAGGAAACCATCAAGTGACATCACTAGAAAGGCCCTCGAGTGGAACCCGAACGGGAAGTGACGAGATGGTCGTCATTGCAAGGGTGATATGGAAGAGGTCGTGCGAAGAGGAGATGAAAGCAGGTGGGCAGATGTGGAGCCATGTGAAAACGTTGGCAGAGAACCGAACGCAATGGAGATGTTCGGCTGGAACCCTATTTTCCTCTAGGAATTAAAGGATATAATAATAATTATATAATAATAATATGTGATATGTCTATTGAACAAACTAACACATAATGATGCGCAGGCACAATATCCCAGTATCTTGAGTAATTCTTTGTATCTATGATTAAGACATTGTGAAAATTCGTTATAAATAAAGCACATATCATAAAGACCTCTCTGTTGCAGCCAATCGGTAGGCGGCCTAACACCTAGGTTTCAAATTTATGAACACCTTGTTCATTACATTCACATCAGAACCCCATTAAATTACCATACTGATATCATGTTTTTATTTATGAAATTCCTTCTGATTATGAAAGTGGAGCATTCTGTATTCAAATTTTATGCTAATAAGCTGGAGACAGTTTAATGGGAATATTCTTTCATAATAGGCGTACTTTTAAAGCCATACGGTCATATATACTCACTTGGTTGATTGACTTGTGTCTTAGTTACCTATTTTTGCTTGGGAATTATGCTTAACAACGCAGTAACTATAGAATTAATCGAATAGCTTTTATTTTAAAATGAACATTGAAAGTAAGTATGATGGTTGCTAATCATGACAGACACTGCAGTCATGATAAAAATAAAGGTAAATTAATGTAAACACCACACACATTACTTGTTATACTTTGTTTTTTATTCCGCGTTTTCGTAATTTCCACATTTCCTTTATAATTTTATGCATATATATATATATATATATATATATATATATATATATATATATATATATATGACACACGTGTTGTTTTTAAGATGTAGATTCTGTACTATTCATAAGTCTAACATTAGTTGAGAGTTCATTTCTCAGACCCTTGAACCATAGGTCCACTTTCCAACTCTCATGTTTCTGTAAATGAATATTCTGTTATTTACTGATAGATAATACAGTTTTAATGCAAAATACCATTTTGTTTTATATATCTAAAATTAGCTGCCGTGTTTAAAGAAAATAGTCGATACTAGCCATGACTACGAGAAATAACTTATCAACCCGTTTTAAGTGTAAACAGTGTTTCAGTACATATTTATCTCGCCAATATTAAGCTATGGTCACATTTCCATGCTGATAAAACAAAAAAGCACAGAATTTACACAGCATAGTACAATTTAAAAATGTATGTGTATTTTTATTTCGAAAATTAGGTGGTGAATACTACTGCTGAAGATATTCAAAGACGTTCCAGTTTGAATGTTATAAGTGATCTGCTGGTGAGCTAAGTAAAATTAGTCCATACTACCACTTACTACTAACACTAATAACACTGTTGTGAAAAAAATATCCTATCCCCACAAAGCTGACGGTATGAAAGGCGTTGCTAGGCTATTCAAATATATTTCAATAATTGTGTACGAATTTTATAAAACTGCTGATCCTGTGTTTGAACGACTTAGCAACATGCCTTACACCGACAGCTCTTGATAAAAAGCATAATATTGAAGTATCTGTGTGTTATAACTATGTTGTGCTTCTTAGTTTATTTACACGCCTACATGTATTTTTATCTCATTCGTTGTATCTTAGAGGGAAAGTGTTATTTTCACCTACTTATTGAACTATCAACAGAATTTCATCAAGTGTATTTAGCGTGCACTGCTTACTAACGTTTAGCTGTTTTCGTTCGTTTTGAATTTTTTTTTGTGTGTGTCGCCAATCGTGTTTTTTAGCTCACACCTGATTAAGCATGACTTTCTTTACAAATTAAGCTTGTCTGTGATAACTTTTTGTTAGCCTTAATTAATTAAATAGCACCATAGTTCATTAGAATTACACTTCAATGGTCTAATCACAGTGATCAGTGATTTTTTCATTTTAGTAATATTCCGAGCAAAATTACTGACTATAATCACACCAACTGTCGGAATTGCTTTTTTTAAAAAAAATTTTAATTCCATTGTAGTTGCTTACAGATTTAATCCTGTTTACCAAAATAGAATTAAAAGACACTGTATAACTTAGTTACTCCTTCATTACCAGTGGCGTCAATTAAACGCCAATAAAAATACTGCCAATAAACAAGTAAGTGGTATATTTCAACTCCAGTTTTAACATCCACATTTGGTAGAATTCAGATGATTAACAATGACAAGCTGCTTAGAAACTTGAATCTGACACGAAAATGAAATACTATGAAAGGGTTTTCATTTTAACGTCATTTGGTCTCTATGTTAAAACGGTTATCTTACGAGGTAGAAATAATTAGATCCTAGCATCTGTTAAATGTTTATGCATCCAGTCATATTAAAGATCCATTTTTATTTCATTTAGAGAGGAGTAAAAGTGTAAAACTAGGATCTGGCATTCTTGTGCTTCAAGTAATCTGAACGTCATGCAGAGTGTGGGAATGTTATTGTTAAATATTGATTTTCGACTGTTTGTAATCAATGAATACATGACTACTTCACGTGTGTTAGTTATGCGCACAAACCTTATTTACTTATCTTTCTTTTTGAAATAGGTGTCGACATTCAAGAAAGTTTTGTGAAAGACAGTATCAATACTGCTAGAAAAGAACTAAGCATAAATTAAATTGTGGATATCGCCGTTATTATTCTTACTATTAGTATTACTATTAATACTATCAGAGTGGTGACTGTCTGTTATTTTGATGTTTCTACAATTTTTTTCCTCTTGTATAATAATACTTATTATTATATAAAATGAAGGAAGATTTAATGTTCAATGGGTTCGTTTTCCTTCACTTCTAATTAGCTTGAATTAATACCTAAGCAGACAAGCCATCGACTGTTACAAAAATTATTGTTATTGACAATGCTTTCTAATCACGTGATATGAAATGTTATGTAGAGAAAAATAAAATAAATGATTTATCTAGCTAACTTATCGTCAACTACTTTTTTAAAGTTTATCTAAAGAAAATTAGATTATCTGCAATACTCAAATGGTGACATATGTAATCAGTTAGACAGGAAAAGTAGAACTTCTAATTTTCAGCACAATAAAGGCATCGCACCTCAGTCGCTAGATTTTGGTCATGAACTAACATCAATTAGAGGCATCAGTGTAAACCAGAGAGCGTTGGACATCTATTCCATCCTATTACGGGACTCCTCATCAGTACGCACCCACGCCTCCTCCAGTAATTGAGCCTAGGACCTTCAAGTTACGAGACCAGTCTCGTAGACAATTCAGCCACTTGGGGTGGAATTCAGCGACCCGTCAATTCTAACTTTGCCAATTCGTCATATAGCGCTGTTTTCACTAATACCTTCGATTACTGGTCACGACCTCCATCTGCAGCTTCAGAAAACTTATCCAGTAGGTGATAGATGTCTTGCATGATTTTTATTTATAAACCATAACCGGGGATTTTTAGTGCCACACGAGTGAGATTGGAATCTCAAAAAGAAAATAGTTCTCCACTTAGGTAGTATACTTATTTGCGATGATTAACTGGTAACAAAATATTTTAGTATCAGGTATCTTATCTTAGCATCCAAGTAGTTCCGACAATCAAAAACTAACTATAAGATTATGGTTGTGAAGGGAAATTCTTATTTCTGAAGAATTCTATGTTGTTTTCTCTATTCAAAAGGCTCCAGTTACGGTAATCCAAATGCGAAAATTGTTGTCATAAATTTTAACTACTTTTAACCATTTAAGTAGGAAGACTGGATTGATTTTCAGAAATAAAGCGACTGATCAAAGTTAATTTGTGGAAAATGTGGATACAAACAGACAACTTCGCATAGTTAAGTTTCTGCTTGGTTATCAGTTTTTAGAGAGTTCATAAGCCCAGTTCAATAGTTCGAAAAACAATGGGTATCAAGTATCTTTAGCTTAATAACTTAGCTTAATACATTGATGTAAGTACGAATTCGGGCATTGTGGAATAGATCAAATAAATTGTAATTATACTTCAATAGTTTACACACAATGATAAATTTTTGTTTTAGTATAAGAACCCAAGATGAAGATGTGGTTTGTATTACGGAGATAGATGACGATGTGATTCATTGTAAGCTTTTTGAAACCCAGTCAAATAGTTTGCCGGTTTTTCGCTTAGAAACAGTGTTATTTCGATACCAGCTATAATTTGATGGACTGCTCAGTGGTCATTGAGTACGACTTTGTTATCTAAAAAATAAGTTTGTCCATTCCTTATTCTTATATCTGTGCAATACTGTGTAATCAGCTTATGTTAACTGTTTACCATCAGCCAACATATCTGAATGTGATCAGAATGCTTTAACACAGAGTGTCACAAATAAATAAAGATGGATACATTTTCATAGATTTAATGGACGGATTTCCAGGCTGTTGGCTTTGGGACAATTTTTCACACTGGGTACAAAATCGGTGACAAGCGTTCAGAAAGACTTATAATTACAGTGGAGAAACGATCGCGAATATGTTGTCCACAGGGAAACTGAATAGATTTCATCTGCATCAAGTAGTAACTAGAGAGCATATTTATTCCTTTTCAACACTCAGAGTCTGAATATACTTATATCTCACTGTTGATGTCTTCAGAGAACCATCAGCCCAGAAAAATTCACTTTGACCAACGAAAACATTGTAATCTAGGCCATTTGACTAAACACATCACAATTTTATAGAGACTTTAAACTCCTCCTGTTGAGTTCATCTAATGTATCATGTGTTTTCAATTTACTAACTTTAATTTTAGTAACTCCATCAGTTATTCCATGTGCGTCGGTAGCATAGCGGTTAGGACGCTCGCCGACCATGCACATGGTCCAGGGTTCGATCCCTGGCCGACGTTCCTTTACCTCGCTAAGCCAGAAATAATGTTGGTAAAGAGGAAAGGTTGGGCATGAGGCTAGCAACCCCATCCTGTAAAATAAACACTGTTACAGAAACTTCAAGCCAATAGCTTGGAGCCCACTGGATAACGTGAAGGAAAAAAATCCTTATAAACCAACTACTAAAACACTACAAAACTAAATTTTGTTGTAATGAAACGATTCAATTGATCTTCGATACATACGAAACTCTATGTCTATAAAACAAAGTTTCAGAAGACGTTTTAATGACTAACGTACTACATCAGCCTTCAATTAGATAATCACCTGAATAATTCAATATATGCCATTAGAAAATCATGTAATCTTCAGTGTGGGTACACGTCAGTTACATTGATTTCACATTGACGAGGAATTAATTATGACACAAATCTGAAGTCTCTGAAAGTGTCAATACCTTAGACCTCAACCGAAGCATAATATTTACTGCTGCCTTCCAATGAAGCGAATTCTACACATTTTCATAAAGAATTCCCACTGACTTCAAAAACAGGTTGGCAACATGGTACTTGTTGCACATCTAATTTTTCACCTCAGAGTATTGTATTTCTTGACTAAGCCTCTTAACTTATATTTTACAAGTACCAATGTTAGGCTGAATATCGAAGACGGTTTTCTTTCAAAAGAAATCAGTCCTTTTCTCCCTCAATTTCAAGCAAAACTTCATCGTAAAGGCCGTTCCATTACTGATCTTTTACTATGCAAGTATTTTGTACTGCACTACCGACTGACTGACTATTTTCAACATAGAACTTTGCACCGATGTGCAGCGGTTTAAGTCGCCACACTCCATGTAGCACACAAAGCAAGAGAACAAAGTAAAAACAAATGCAAAACAGATACAGTAAACAGAGATATGAGGCAAAAAGAATAATAATATCGAAGAACCATACAGTTTTGTCGGGTATTATAGGTCACAAGGAGTGGATGCATCTGCACCATTGAGAACAACTTTGAGCCATATCACCAATTGTCTCCAGCCTTTATTGGTTTTTACCGTCCAATGAAGTTTATACCTTCCTACGTAGCTGGCTTAAACTAACTTTGTGGATTTCATTAACTGATAAGGCCAGATTTCCGTTTGACCACCACTGGCTCTTTCTCAACCTGACCCTACGTCAGCTAACATTTCCCGTCGAGAAAGACGATGGCTAACCACACACAACACATGTCCTTATCATCTCAGTCAATGTAATTTCACAGCCTCATCGATTGATTTACCCTCCTTACCTAGTACTCGACACCTAACCTCAATATTGCTCACCTTATTATGCCATTTCACACGGGAGATAGAGCACAGGCACTTATGACCAAAGATCTTTTAATGTCTTCCACTCTAAATGGCCAGGTCTCACAGCCATAAAGGAGGAGGAAGAGGACTGATGAGCAGTATACACGTCCTATGGTCGATAATCAGCCGGATATCACGTCTACGCCAGAGACGGCGTAAGCTGGCATATACGACACTAGCCTTCTGCATCCGTTCTAAGATTTCGCCAGCGATCAACCCGTTGGGGCTGGCTAATGCAACTTCCTAAATAAGTGAAGTGGTCAACGTGTTCTACCACTTCACTTCCTATTTCTGAACTAGGAGTCAATGTAGTCCAGTCAGTAATAAAATAATAATAGTAATAACTGAATCTAGTCCAGTCATGTACCACCATTTTACAATTGACGGAAGCGAATCACATACCAAACATACGAGAATATCTGCTCAAGGTGTTCAGAAGACTCTGCATTTTGTCAGCGTCTTTAACTAGGAGGGAGGACCATCTGCATATTCTAAGCCAACGAGATTATTCCCTGGTAACACCTCCAAATAGGTGCACTACTACTTTACAAGTTTAAAGAATGTCCAATATGTAGTCTAGGATATCTAGAATGATATACAGTGAATCAAGTCTAAAGTAAACATTGTCAAAATTGAATTTTACAACATAAATGAGTGTTATTGCGTTTAGATGAAGCATATTCTTATCTTCTTTAGGGGTTTATGAATATTAACTGGTAAATACATTTTTTAAATTGCTCCCAAATGTTTATCAGATAAAAGTGAATCGCAACTGTTATCTTTTCATCTATTCACATGACCACTTCCTAATATGGATAATAAATCATACGAAGAATAGATGTGACATTATTTCGAAATTCTGAAAGAGGCTAATTCACTTGAGATATCTACATACTTCATTAACTTAGTGACATCATTTGATTGAGCAGTTTGCGAGTGTGGAATCATTGACTCAAATATGACCGCACTATCAAGCAGGTACTAATTCTTAACTGTTACCTAAGTGATTTATATGAAAAAGAGAAGACGTTCAGCGAAGAGACTCTTTTCGGCGAATTCATTCACATAGCTGTACAATCGCATTTATATATAATTATTTGTGTGTGTGTACATGAGGTTTGTCAAAATTAGATAATTGATCAGGTAATAAAAGAATGATCTAATACAGAAACAAGGTTAATTGGACAGCAACTAAAGTAAGATTGAGTTAGTAAGTTAGATAACGTAATACAATTGACTAAAATGTTTTAACTTAGGTCAGGGTAGCAACAGAGGTAATTACAGGTAGAGACTAAGTAGAAGTGGGGTAGATAATAATGCCATTTAAATTAGAACTGAAATTGAGCAATTAAGTTGGATGACGTAACATAAATGACTAGAAATTGAGCGTTGGTCAGGTCAATTAAAGTGGTAGTGAGGTGTAGAAATTAAATCGGGTGGGGGTAGAGAACAAGAAAGTTGAAAATGCAAAATATTACAACTGAGAAGACAGAATAATACCAATGAAGAGACAGAAAAAAGAAAAAATTAGGTAAAATTTACCTTTCAGGTAATAAGGTAGGTTAAGTCCATTGTAAGTGTAGTGATTGAACGAACCTCTTCTGTATGTAGAGTTCAGGGCTTAGCAAGTGAATCGCCATCGCTTCTGCAGTTTGAAGAAGTCTGATTCGTACACCTTTTGGAAGACTACTTCTTACTCTGTAGACTACTTTGAAGTTTGTTTGGGGTGCAGCTTGGTGTCCGGATTCTATCAGATGTTCTAAGATGGAGCTGCGGGGACATCGTTTTTCTCCTTTGTAAAACCATGCTGGTAAGTGTTCGGTGATACGCTTGGAAAGCGAACGCTGGGTACGGCCGACATACCTGGCTCCACACGAGCAGGTGAATTGATAAATACACATTGATGAGGCCAACAGTGGTAGCTTATCCTTCACGTTCACATGAATCATAGGTTTTGTGGAGAAAATTAGTCGTAGTTCAGCTGCGAAGAAAGTCTTCTTGAGTGAGCGCGACAGTCGATTTTTTAGTGTTTCCGCAGATATATCTCCATTGAATTGAAGGTTCATGTAGAGCGGTTTCTTCGGGACGCTATGCATGGGCGGCTTTTGTGGCCTAGGATTCATAGATTTTCCAATCAATCGTTCTGGGTAACAATTCTCGACGAGGATTCTCTTGAGATTGCCCAGTTCATCTTCTACGGTGTCCGGGGTACAAATTCTGCGAACTCTGTTGCTAAGTGAACGGATCAGGTTCCGTTTGGTGTATAGGGGTACCCAGCTGTGGAAGTTAATAATAACAAGCTAAGCCCTGAACTCTGCATACAGAAGAGGTTCGTTCAATCACTACACTTACAATGGACTTAACCTACCTTATTACCTGAAAGGTAAATTTTACCTAATTTTTTCTTTTTTCTGTCTCTTCATTGGTATTATTCTGTCTTCTCAGTTGTAATATTTTGCATTTTCAACTTTCTTGTTCTCTACCCCCACCCGATTTAATTTCTACACCTCACTACCACTTTAATTGACCTGACCAACGCTCAATTTCTAGTCATTTATGTTACGTCATCCAACTTAATTGCTCAATTTCAGTTCTAATTTAAATGGCATTATTATCTACCCCACTTCTACTTAGTCTCTACCTGTAATTACCTCTGTTGCTACCCTGACCTAAGTTAAAACATTTTAGTCAATTGTATTACGTTATCTAACTTACTAACTCAATCTTACTTTAGTTGCTGTCCAATTAACCTTGTTTCTGTATTAGATCATTCTTTTATTACCTGATCAATTATCTAATTTTGACAAACCTCATGTACACACACACAAATAATTATATATAAATGCGATTGTACAGCTATGTGAATGAATTCGCCGAAAAGAGTCTCTTCGCTGAACGTCTTCTCTTTTTCCTATGACTATATGGGGATTTTCAAGATACTTAAGTGATTTAATTTATTGGTGGGAGCTGACTTCAAATGTTAGTGATCAAGCGGGTGATTGGTGTTAAGGAGAAGATCTCAGTAGCATTCATTCACTTTAGTCTATATCCATGAACTGGAGGCTATTAAAATTCAGTCCTATAGCATCATATTATATTTCAAGAAACTGAAAAGCATGTCAAACAAATTTATTTGTCCCGAAAGTTGAAGAGAATGTACATACGTTAAAAGCGTATCCAAAGACAGTAGAATTCGGCATCCTTTGTGAACTTAACTAGTGACCACTTATTCGAATAGCGATTCTATATAAATCCAGACAAATAATTTAAAATCAACAGCCTGAATTAGTACAACAGACTACCTTGGCACTTTATCCACAACTAGACACATGTGAACACAACTCGTTCAATGAGAAACAATACAACCTTTATATTAAGAAATATGCCATGTTGTGGACTGTCTTTTAAGGAATACTTAGAGAGTAAATACTTCAGTCAGATATGAAGCCAAGACGAGCTATTAGTGTATGGATTTCCTAAACCTCAGTTGGTCCCTAAACAACTACGGCCTGTTATTATGTAGAATTAATGATATATCCTGTTCTGAACACTCACCACTGATACTAAAAGACGATGGTGATAATGCACAAATTCATTGGTTTCAATGTTGTCAAGTTAGAGTGAGGAGGTAAGAAGCCAAAAGGTTTAAAAATACAGAGTAGTCATACTGTAACTACAGAAGACAAATGTCAGGCCACCCATCGTTTATTGAGAAAATCAACAGATATTTATGGATTTCTATATGCATTATTGTCAGCGAAGAGGCAATCTTCTCTGGTTGGTTGTTTTCTTGCTACAGGTTATTCTGTTATCTCTTTGTAGCCGTTTCTCATAAAGTTAAGCCATATATCTGTGAATCGCATTTGCACACGTTAAGTCTGCTGTGATAAGTTGGTGAGTTCCTCAAGGTTAAGCTTTTTTAATGTTTTTATCTCCCATGATCCTAATTCGGGATGTAACATTGACATAAATTGCTGTCTACGGCTATCACCACAATACTGCTCTATATACTAATGACCAGATCACTTCATAGGTTTCTTTGTGATAGTTAGTTAATTACGTTACACACACTCCTTTGATCAGTAGCAGAATTTCACATCTACGCCAGAGGTGATGTGATACAGACAATGTTTTCCAAAGGAATATTATTCTCACACATCCCCACAGTTCAATATTGCATTAGCAACAGAATGCTGTATATATATTTGAACATTCTATGTCTATCTATGTAAACCAAAACCACACGCTCAATGATCGGTTAAAGGATATAAACTATGTATATACAAAACGGTTTGATAAACTGAAAATATGCCTTTACTTCCGTGTCTCATTCAACAGCTGTATGACAGTGTCGCTTGTCAAGTGATTCACAACAGGAATTTCAGCGAAGCCTTTGAAACGAACATAGGAGTGAGACAAGCCTAACTACTACAACCGATAATATTCGTGACTGTGGTGTAGTGAATCATGCAAAAGACCACAGAGGGTCGGGGGTGGGAAGACAGATATATGCTGAACTGAAAAGATACTGGAAGATTTCGACTTCGTGGCTTTTTACACCTAGTGTCAAACAAGCTCGAAAATCGACAGGCGAAAACCAACAAGTTGGCAGAAGAGGCAGGAAAGACAGGACTTTGAGTGAACATAGAGAAGACAGGGGTGATGAAGACACCTAGCCAACAACAACAGCAGGCACTAATCACCATCAACGAGATAAATTTGAAAGAGCTCACTTCATTTATCTAGAAAACACATTTCAACTACAAGCCAGCCACAAGGATGACGTCGAAACCAGAATGAGAAAGGCAAGACAGAACTTCATCACTCTGAAATCAGTTTGGAAATCTACTGCACTTAGCAGCATAAACAACGAAATTCGGATTTTCAATGCCAATGTTAAGTCACTTCTTTTATATGGGCTAGAAGCTTGGCAAATCACGAAAAGCATTCCAACAGCCTGCTTCAGTCTTTTGTCAACAGATGCCTTCGCTCCATACTGAAGATCAAATAGTCACAAAGGACTAGCAACAAGAAACTCTGGAAACGAACCAACCAAGAACCCATAGCCCAACAATTATGTCAACGAAAACGGGGATGCATGGTACACACTGAAGAGACCGTTGAGTGGCATCACCAGTGATCATCATGGATTCTAAGTTTCCTCCCTGTATCTGTTCTCTACCTATTTCTAGTGGTTTTAGAACAGATTTTGCTCAAACAAGTACCCAACTTAGCTTTTATTAACGAGCTTGAACACCACTAAAAGCGTTCGTATTCATGCAGATAATAAGCAGAGGTAATGAAATGACATTCAATTATAATTACATTTCAGTAGTTGTTTATATACATTACTGAAGTCGAATTATTCCCAGAGTTAGTGTAACTTCATTTCAAGAACTTTTTAATAACGCATCATCTTAATGACGCTATTTATGCGAATGCATTGTACATCCACACTTTCCCATGGATACCTAACAAGTTCTGAATGTACCACGGGTGGATATCTACTTGCAATAAGTACGTTCACATGTTGAAAACCACAATTTTGATAGCCTTTAAAAGGTATGATAAACTCCGTATTCTTTAAAGTATAACCAGTCTATAACAGAGTACGCGAAGTTCTACACTTCCAAGTCAAAAAAGTGTAAAAGTTTAAGATTCAGTAGCTGTGAAGAAATAATCTGACAATATAAAATTGATGATTATGCTAGAATTTGGAGTTGGCTATCTAACTTACCCTACAGCGCCTATTGGACACTTAAATAGGTACTATTTCACATTAGACATTCGATCTTCACAATTGCATCACAATTTGTATCAGTTGCAAATGATCATGCTAACCGAGCCTATGGTATAACTTAACCTCAGTCTTATGCCACAGATTCCATTAGTTATATGCATAGTTACATCCAAATGATAATTCCGGTTCCTGAGCCTATTATGGCACCACAACTAAAGAGATGACACTGATATCAACGGTTCCTTAAATGTATATATATGACGCGTATTTCTGAAACTGGCAAAAAAAAATTATCAACATAATTTAGTTGAGTACAGCTACTTCAATTAATGAACTTGGAAAAACTCTACACTCCTAGATTTACTGTTTGTTAGCAATACCTTTTGTGTGTATTGAATTTTATTTATTTTCCAAATCACTCACAGCATACAAATTTTAATAAAAAGAGAAGAAATGATTGCATGTCAGAAGTATTGTATAAAAAAGGTCAAGTTTTTAAAACGCTTATTATGCAATATATATATATATATATCTTATCTGCAAGAGGTGCAGTGATCATTTACTGACCACTATGTAGGGTCCGATTAAAAGCATTGTAAGAAGAATCTAAATCGAAAAGCATCTGACGTACTTCGGCTTCAGATAATTCGTCAGAAGCCTGCATTTGATCCATTTTATCTAGCCTAAAACAGAGAAAATACACATAAAGCACCTTGCTAATAACATTTGTATGTGTATCCCTATTGTAAAACTACTTATAAATGACATTTAATAAATAAAGTTATCAATTTTAACATCAAGATTATCGAAACTAAGTGGGTTTGGCTTATTCATCGAATGCAAATAATTTGAATACTACGGACACTTCATGCAGTTTATTCTGAGACACCCAATGGCATCTTCCGAAATTATTTCAATGGCCTCGACGTGTTTGACGTGTTACTGTAGACGCTTTCATACAACCCAGTGTTCATTGCCCTTAGTCAGAAGAATCGGAGGTCATCAGATAACAATAGGAACCCGTGGTATTTTTTGCTGGCTTAGCTTCTCTTAATGCACAGTAACTCTAGATAGACTAGGGGAAGTCATATGAATTAGTGTATAAACGAACTCAAAATTGAAATCAGTAGCAACGTCGATGTAATTTTCTTGTTTCTCCTACTAGCAAAAGTAGTACAGTGACAGACACCATCATGAATTTATCTAGTGAGAATGTGTGTCTATCCACTTAGTTATTCTACAATATTCCTTTTTTTCCTATTATCTTCGTTTTGTCGCTATATTATTCTGTGTAGGACATCTTCTGATGTCTGTGTTTTACTAAGGTAGTGTTTAAACAAATTTTAAGAAACTACAATTTCGGCTTAATGATCGAAGTACTCTTTGCTCAAATGTCGAGCAACAGGATCGAAATAACCAAAACTAATTTAGTCTAGACAAGCGGTGGTTGAGACTGTGCTGTATCATTGTTGAAAGTTTCAAATCACCTGGCTAGCTCAATCTGAACAACACTTCAATCATTCAGGGGATTCACTCCGTTAATGTAGGACATGCCCTTGTTTACAATCGATAAAAAGTACCTTAACAGTCTTCTTTGTTGTCTAATAAGCTCAGAAAGAGTAATTTATTAGTCAAAAATCAGGCTATCTATGATAATAACAGATTACTAACACAGAGATGTTGGTCACGGTTGAAGATTTTGAAATGACAAAAGTAAGGAATACTCCAAGTAAACGGCTAATAAGTTTCCATGTAGATTACTAGCTTGAGAAAAATTAAAGTAAATGCATAACAAGTACTCTCCACTGGAGTATTGCAATATACAAAAACTAACGAATTCTACAAGCTAGAGTCAAAAGAGCGGCTTCACATAAAAATATTCTTCAAAAAAGCTTACCAAATTTTCACTTTATCTTTACCTCGAAATCTGAAGGTAAAATACTTAGCCGAGAAATGGTTTCATATAACTCTCGAAGATCTGGGTGGATCTGTAGAAGATAGTTATCAAGTGCTTGAATAACTTTACTTCATCCATTGCACGAATTTCTAATCGTAACTTGTCCATTATGGTGATAAACAACTGTTATAAAAAAATTAGACAAACAAAGACATAACTCTCTACTTCTGAAACAAAATACTATGAAAAGGTTTCACAGTTTACATAAATTCGCTGGGAAGCAAGTCAACTTAAAAACGATAACAGCAATTAATTAAATGATTAATTAATAATAATAATAATAATGACGTGAAACTAACAATAATATAAAGGTTTACTCAAGGGAAAACAACTTAAACGTGTAAGTGATCGGTTAGCCTAAATATGTCAAAATTGCCTTGATTAGAAAATATGTGACTGTTATGAAAGCATAGTATTGAATATGGATGGTATGTTCACAGACGAGACTATGCAGCTTATTTGACTGATATAGCTGGAACAATCGCTATACATGTATACAGTTCTTAGTGTCTCCCAGATTTGGGAAATAATTAATGTTACTCTCTTATTGATGTGGTTATGTTCTTGAGCTGCGTGGTTCAATTGCCAATCTTTCATTGGCCTTCTAAATGTTATCCAAGAGACGAATTCTTGAGGCCAGTAACAGACAGCCCATTCGGGGTAGCAGCTGAAGTTATATCCGTATGAAGATATAATCGCCAACTAAAAACTGCAACAAGGTAAGTCGTGATGTACAATCGTCAGAGTCGACCTTTTCGAAACCCCTCCTCTCAGAGAGAAGGCAGAATAGCTAGCCTGCTGGTCGTCCGACAGAAACACAATTCAAGCATTGCAATCTAGTGCTCATACTCTACATCAGTGTGAGACTTACGCTATGACAGTAACTACTTATAGTTTAACTACCATCCAAATGACTTTACTGAACTTGTGAGAACATTCATTCCAGCCAGTATACCTCGTTGGATCATTGAGACATCAAAGTCCGACCATCACATACAAGAAGCAACTATCCATCAGGGTAGAGAAAACGGAAAAGTGAATAACCTGACAAGATCAGATGGCTTCGGGACTTAACAGTGGGTGTATCGAGCAAATATTTACTCCGTCAAATCCTGCAAAACAGGTACACCTAATGAAGCCCTAAAATATATGTATCTTGTGAAATGAAAGAGACTTTTAACCGATCTGACCAAAGACTCTCTTTGCCGAATTGCCCCACATTAAATGAATCCTATTAGATTAGTGGCTAGCGAAACTCGTACAAATACCAAAGATTGTTTTACGTCAAGCTGTTTCATGAGAAAGCTAAAATTAACTATATCAATCAGTGGAATCAACCATGAAGTCACTAATTATCTACTTTCCGGTTGGGAGGGACAAAGAAAGTCTAGAGACTACAACCGTCTTAAAATAGAGTAGTGCAAAATACATCTTTGTTTTCATCATCTCAACTGTCGTACAACATTCGTTAATTCTCTTTACTTTCTTCTTAAATCTTACAGCACCCTCATCTGATAATCAAAAATAAGGTGAAGTTGTTTGTACCACTAGGCCGATATGATGACAGTATCCTCCTGTTCGAATATAACAAGTTTTAAAAAACCAACTATTAATTAAGTGGAACTCACAGAAACAGTGTCAGCTATACATTTGTTTACATTTTGTTTATCATCCTTAATAGTTATTGGTCTTCCCTCTTTAATACGCTCTAGAGCAGCTGGACAGTCCATCTAAAATGTAAACAAAGTTTAAGCACAAACAGCCACTAAACTTTATATTTTCTCATGAAATCTTCTACAGTAGCGAATTCATCACCTTGAACCTGCTTGAACGCAGCCTTGTACTGGACCAGAAGTTTTGAGCATGCAGCTGTATATCTATTTTATGAATAATTTTAAGATTATATGACTCAACTCTTTTGATTCAACATAATCCTTTATATATGCCTTTTGTAAACACTGTATGGTATTGATGACAGCATATAATTCAGCAAGATTGTCATACCTATAAGGTTCTATAAATTAATTTCAGGAACTAACTTCTCTCTTTCACGTGCAGTACGATAAAGCTTTACTTCCTAAAATAAGATCGAAGATAATATGATTGCCAACATACTTCGTACAACTCAACACGACTATCCACTAAAAAGAAAACAAATATAAATTGTCACTCAGAAAAACTCCGTAAATCAAAATGAATTAGAGACGATAGGAAAATTTACCAAGGTATCTAAATAGCGACAGTAAAAATTAAATAAACGATTCGCAGGAATGTTGACAAAAGCTTTAAATAATTCATACACCTGCGTGTGATTATGAAAGAGAATTTTTGAGGCGACTAAGCTGCGCATTCACGTTTAGGCAACGCATCACCGGCGCTAAACATTTCTTCTTCGACGGATGCATTAAACATCGATGTTCAAACTTGTATACTAGAAAATGAGCCTCATCTGGTACGAGCTGATGACATTACATCCAGTAAAATCAGATACCGTTTGGAGAAAATAATCAGTAAACCTAAGCAATTCTTCAAACGTTACCTATTCATGAAGACTTAAACGCAGAAATTGTGTTTATATGATGAGCACACTATCAACTAACAATTTCGAGCAAAAAAATGTAATTTCTACAACAGCATGCTACTAAGTTATTTGATGAGTATAAATTATAGGCATCACTAACACCAGCTATAAGTGAGACAAAATAACGGTAGCAAAAAAATTTGCCGAAATCGTTTCACATATGATCTCCACAAAGCTGCAAAGTCCCTATACAGGGAAAATAATTTGATGAACTGGATATATTCGCCCCAATAAGTATGTGTTGGTCATCATCTGATTTCGCTAATCAGATGAGCCCAATACCACTTTTAACAATGTGCATTTCTAGCCATCAGCCGCTCACCCCTTGGGTTCCTAATGGGACATAATGCCCCAAAGACACATTACATCGCTATTCTTTGTAGATTTATCTTAAATGGCTTCATAACCGTCCAGAAGCTTTCATCTCCTTCTCACACAATCTCCTATACGTCGCCCTCGGACTCCCAACACGTAATATCTCATTTTAGTAAATCACGAGGGACTGAAGAGTGATGTTACTCAGCGGTCTCTTCAGGGTATGTCTAATTCATCTCCATTTCCTTCGGTACATTTGCTGGGTAGTAGCTGGGCTTTCCGTTATGGATCACTTGTCAGGTAGCTTTATTACATAGTTGTATGCAGCCATTACAAAATCGATAGTCTGGGTAGACAGTCGATTACTATTTTATGCTCTGTCCTACAATGACACATTGTGTTGCAAATTGGTCCGCGAATGAGTTATGTATCTTGAGGACAGCCTGTTCTGGGTGAAATTTTTTATCTTTTGGTTTCTCTGGGACGATGCAGCCAAACATTTTGTTTGGCATGAACAGGAGCATGGTTCTCGCAGACTGACAAGGTAGCAATTTTTCCTGAAGGCAGATACGTTCCCTTCCTTCCAAACCTCCTATAATAGAGTGGACATGTCAGTTTACTACGCTAGGCAACCTTTTATGCCCGCTCCAGCGACACATCATATATAAGACATTTTCACCTATTTTGTTGTAAAATTTGCATTAGGACACTAAATATGTACTTTTATTCATAATGCTAACTTACCTAGTAACCAAGAATCAAAAGATTTTCTTACTTCAATGCGAAAGTGCAGTATGATGCACAATGGTCATCAGGTAAGAAGTGTATAACCTGATAACCACAACTATTTTTTGACAATAAATCGCTCGTCATTTAAAGATACCATTTGCTTGGGAACAAGCTGGCTACTAAAATAATCTTCGTTCAAGGGTGGATGAATCGGTGTGTCAAAACATGCTCAAAGATTATAAAAACTGCATTTTACATAGTCTTATATCAATAAGTCAATTCATTTGTCAAGAAGACATTTCTTCAATCGTATAATTTCGCGCAGAAAATGAAAATCATGGTTTACGACTCAAATATTGCTTAATATTAAATACCATATCATGAAACTGAATGTCTATTTCCTTTACTTCCACAGACGTAAGGAATTATGAAAGGAATGCAGGAGCTTTTAAATCTCTTTATGCCTTGTACCACCTACGTTAAAAATAAGGAACTGTTTGTTATCCTCCGACAACATGTTTTGAAGTTATTCTGATGAACGCCGACAGGCCTGAAGTAAAATAGTAATCTTGGTGTTAGCGATAGTTCTACAATCTCGGATGTAGTGAGAATCCAGTATAATAACACATAAACGAGCAAGCAAAGTACTACATAGCTGTGGGACTGGTACCTTAGGTACGTTCGGGCCACAATAAACAAACATAATAACTTACTGATTCAGTTGCGTTTTAAATTTCCTGCCAACCAAATAAACAACCAGCCTAGCTTGTGATTGGTTAGTTTCACTCCTATGCAATATTGCCTGTTGTCTGGTCTTCAGAGAAGTACGGAAAGGTACATAAACGAAATATCCAGCGGCTGTCTGTTTCTTTTTCTATATGCAAATAATTCTGAAGTCCATTTTTTACAGAGACGAGAAAAAGTTAACAAAGAACTAAAATTCACCGAATTCAGTCTTCTTCAATAATTTGTAGCAGAGTAGCCTGTGTCAATCCTTGTATTAAAGTTTCCCCTCAAAAGTCAACGCCACTAAGATATTTCTGAAAGTTATATAACGACAACGCTGTATGAGCGGTACATAATTCCGAAAATTATTAGACTATAATGAGCTTCATTCAACGTTAGATGCTGTCCCTCACTGTTTAAGCCACCTGGTTAGGGTGAAAGTAGGCAATCAAGCAACCTTGTCATCTGAGACGCTGTCGCGTTACGCTCGGTCGTTTGTGCACAAACACTAGCGAGTAAAACAATCATCACAGATCTAAATTCCTGATCCCCATACATACCTCGGATCTTGATCTATTAACTAGTCATTTTGATTTGCCTCTGATCTCAGTAGAACGAGCGCTTCACGATTAACTACTTGAAAACTTGCGGTTATGTTAATTGTGTCCTACGTGGCCATCACCATCATTCCTCACCTAAATGAGAAAAATATTCCTAAATCTCTTTTGTTAAGCCATGCTCCAAATAATATTATAGTGTCCTCCAGAGGATTTACAGTGTAGCGGTAAATAATTCCCCAAAATTATTGACCACAGCAATCACTCATTGGATGCTGACCACCACTGTTTAAGTCGACTTGTTTAGCTGAAGGCTTCCGGTCAAGCATCCCCGCCATTTGGTACCCCGTCGTGTCACGTGCACGATCACTAGCTAGCTAAGCGTTCGTCTGACGGCTTGTTTTGGTCCCGAAATATATCACGTAGTTTGGACGATCAAAATTGGCTTTTGCTTTGTTTTGGTACGCGAGAATAAATTAATTAGAAGTTGCTGAACGAGATATCCGTCAACCTCTAAACTGGTGAGCCCAACCGCGAACTTCATCCACGATAAATCCGCAGATAACCCCGGTGAGTTCGTTCCATTTTGTATTTGTTCTTGTACCATATATTATTCGACATAATTTTCGTCATGAGTGATCTTAGTCCCAAGGTCATCCGTATCCGCTCAACTCCTAAAACCATTCAGCTCGTACCATACTGGCCAGATAATGCTGAAACGTGGTTTCTGCTAGCTGAAGCAGATTTTTGTGAGCATGGGATAACCGATCAACGTTCACAGTTACTTGCAGTTATTCACGCCCTACCGCGGGAATTCAGCAAGTACGTAACATCACAGATGTTCAGTCCCGAGGTAAGTAACTCGTACGAGTTGCTCAAAGCATCCCTCCTCAGGAGAAACGTTCTCACGGACCGACAACGTCTAGATGAATTATTTCGTAACATCGAGTTAGGAGATCAGTCAGCCGTGAGCATGCTGACAAGAATGAAAGAAATCGTCGGCCAAAGTCAGTTCGACGAAGGACTATTTAGAGAACTCTTCTTATCCAAGCTGCCACAGTCTGTACAGACCGTACTTGTGACACTTCAGGGTACTGTAATAGAGACTTAGCTATTACTGCAGATAGGATTCTAGAAATAACTAAACGGTCAGTTCCCGAAATATGCTCGATGACTAAGCAGACTTCGAGTAAGGATCCTGCAATGATAGAGTTATGCAACTCCATCCAGCAGATGTTTAGGTCGAACATGCATTCTAACTCCTCCGACCGTCGTCCTAAATCTCCTCAACGCAGGAACTCACGTGGTCGATCTAAGTCCAAACCACGTTCACTGAAAAACCCTGACTGGTGCTGGTACCACAACACCTATGGCCAAGAAGCGAAGTGTTGCCGTAAGCCTTGTAACTTCGGAAATGTCTCAAAGTCTGCGGGAAACTATCCCGCCGGCACGCGTTAGCGGCAACCGTCGCCGGTGGCACTAGCCGCCTTTTTTACATCCATGATGTGATAAGCCAGACTCGATACTTAGTCGACACAGGCGCCGAAGTCAGCGTCCTTCCTGCTACAGCAGCAGATCGACAGAAGGAACCTACCTTCAACTTACAGGCTGCAAATGGAAAACCAATCGCAACCTTTGGTAGGAAATACGTCTATCTGAACGTAGGTTTACGCAAACCTATTCGTGGATTTTCCTTCTCGCTGACGTTACAATGCCCATCATTGGCACGGACCTACTTAATCATCATGATTTACTCGTAGACGTCCGCCGAAAACGACTGATTGACAATACTACTAGTCTGTCTATCAAAGGCATCAGCTACATAGGCCCTAGTTTGTCACCCGTTAAGATAAAGGCAATCCTTGATCCAACTTTTCAACCTATTGTTGACAAGTATCCGGAACTTAATTGCCCGTCGAACGACCTACCGTGCATAACCAGCAATGTTATGCACCACATCATTACCACAGGACAACCTGTGACATCTAAAGCACGACGATTAGCTCCTGACAAACTGAGAATCGCCAGGAATGAATTTGACCATATGCTTACCCTTGGCATCATTCGACCTTCGAATAGCCCATGGGCATCCCCACTTCATATGGTTCCGAAAAAGGATAGCAATGATTGGCGACCCACCGGTGATTACCGGCGAGTGAATGCCAAAACAACCCCTGATTGCTACCCGTTGCCTCATATACACGACTTGACGGCAACCTTATCCGGCGCGACTATATTCTCCAAAATCGACTTGGTTAAAGCGTATAACCAAATCCCGATGGCAACAGAAGATATCCCGAAAACGGCTATCATTACGCCTTTCGGACTTTTTGAATTTCTACGTATGCCATTCGGTCTTCGGAATGCAGCCCAAACATTCCAACGCTTCATTGACGAAGTATTTCGCGGTCTCGACTTTGTATACGCATACTTAGACGACTGCCTCATTGCCAGTCCAGACAAGGAAACTCACCTTAGGCACTTGGACTTGGCATTTGAAGGTTACGCCAACATGGTGTTACCATTAATATTCAAAAGTGTCAAATCGGTGTTGACTCACTCGACTTTCTGGGTCACACTATTGACTGCAAGGGCATTCGCCCACTGGCTACTAAGGTCGAGGCTATACTGAACTTTCCAGAGCCACAGACGGTGAAAAGTCTCCGCACTTTTAACGGCTTAGTAAGTTATTATCGACGCTTTATTCCCAACTGTGCCTCTTTGATTCAGCCATTGACAGACCTCCTTCGAGGGAATAACAAGTCCATAGAACTTGACGCGTCTGCTCGAAATGCTTTTACCCAGATTAAAAAAGCTATTGCGAATGCCACACTTCTGATGTATCAGGATCCAACGGCACCGTTAAGTATCTCGGTTGATGCATCAAACACTGCAATCGGCGCAGTTCTACAACAGCTAGTTGACAATGAGTGGCAACCACTCGCCTTTTTCTCCAGGCGCCTTCAATTAGCTGAAACGAAGTACAGCACATTCGGCAGAGAACTTCTGGCTATGTACTGTGCTATACGACATTTTAGACATTCGGTAGAGGGTCGTGAATTCATAATTTTTACTGATCACAAACCTCTGACGTACTCTCTGAACTCACCTTCAGATAAGTATTCACCCAGGGAATCACGACAACTGGATTACGTCTCACAGTTTACATCAGATATTCGCCATGTATCCGGAGTAAACAACACTGTGGCAGATGCCTTGTCGCGCGTTTGTTCCCTCACCCAAATCGACGGCATAGACCTTGTAAAACTGGCTCGTCTTCAAAAAGAAGATACCGAGCTTCAACATGAGTTGTCGAAAACAACTCTACAATTAGCTGAGAAACCCTTAGGTATGGGAAGAGATACTATTCTATGCGACATTTCCACGAGTACTCCTCGCCCCATCGTGCCTAAAAGTTATCGCCGTAACGTCTTCAATACGTTGCATGGCTTATCTCACCCAGGTATTCGAACTACTGTCAAGCTCGTAACTAGTCGGTTTTGTTGGCCTGGCATTAATAAAGAAGTAAGGGAATGGGCACACACGTGCTTAGCTTGTCAAAAGTGCAAGGTGATAAGACACACCAAAAGCCCACTTGGCACCTTTCTTCTCCCTGACGCTCGTTTCGAACACGTCCATATAGATTTGGTTGGACCCCTTCCTGAATCCCATGGATATACCTATATTTTAACTTGCATCGATCGATTCACACGATGGCCGGAAGCAGTACCCATCAAGGACGTATCTGCTGAAACAGTCGCACGCGTCTTCGTAGAAAGATGGATCGCTAACTTTGGATGCCCATCTTCCATAACAACTGATCGCGGGCGGCAATTCGAAAGTGGCTTATTCTTCGCCCTGACTAAAATCATAGGTTGCATGCGATTTCGAACAACAGCCTACCATCCTCAAGCTAATGGTATGGTAGAACGTCTACACAGACAGCTGAAAGCTGGTCTGTCAGCTGCAAACACCACCCATTGGACTGAATCCCTTCCGTTAGTTCTCCTAGGGATACGAAACGCCTTGAAAACCGATGCTGGTTGTACTAGCGCCGAGCTAGTATATGGCACGACACTACGACTGCCTGGTGAATTTGTTTCTCCCTCGAGCTTCCCACCAGTGGTAGATCACGCTTCATACGTCAGCAGGCTTACAAACGCAATGCGTTCAGTTAAACCTGCTCCCCTTCGTCCACAGTCCATTGATGTTTTCGTTCATCCGTGTTTGAAAACTTCTTCACATGTATTTGTTCGTCGCGACTCTGTGCGCAGACCCCTGGAACCCCCATACGACGGACCTTATAAGGTAATTAAACGTTCTGATAAATTCTTTGTCTTGGACAAAAACGGCCGCGAGGACACCGTCAGAAGAAAATCCTACTGGGTCACAATTGGACTTGAGGGACATGTGCACAAACGCCAATGGCTTGACTGGAGTTTATTATTTTAAGTTGACATGCATGCAAGTATCCGACTGTAGAAGGGACAAAAGCATTGGAAATCAACACCTAGATCCTTACTTAAAATACACACTGTTGATATGA